AGGGTATGGTTCTATTTCAGATAAAATATTCAAAGATTGTCTATGGGTTTATAAAGAATTTTTGTTTGATATTTTTAACAAAACTTTTTCTTTTTCCAGATGAACAAAAGTTGCAATGATTAAATTTATTTTTAAAACAGAAAATGAAAGTCTTGCTACAAATTATCGACTTATATCGGTGTTACTTGTTTTTTCAAAAATCCTCGAGCATATCATGTATAATAGGCTATTTGCATTATCCATGAAAATAACCTTCTCTGTTGTAACCAATATGCTTTTTGATCAAATTACTCTACGGAGCATGTATAAGTATACAATTAGTTGAAGTTCTCAGCGGAGCATCTTCTTATAATAAATTTACTTTGGGTATATTCCTAGACTTGTTCAAAGCATTTGACACCGTTAACCATCAAATTTTACTTGAAAAAATAATATGTTATGAAAGTGTGCAATACCATAAAATGATTTACCAGTTATTTATCTGATCAAAAACAGTTTATATCTCTGAATGACGGTTTCAGACAAAAAAAAAAAATTGAAAATATTATGTGGAGTTCCCCAAAGCTCCATCTTAGGTTCTCTTCTGTTTTTAATCTATGTCAACGGTTTATATAGAGCATCAAACATTATGTCTAATATATTGTTTGCAAACAACACCACTTTATTTTATTCTTTATATTCCATCCTAAACAGAAGTTTCAATATATTCCTACATCCTTACCAATGCTACATAAAAATAACATCAAAATTGAGCAATCTTTCACAAACAAACTACTTGGTGTTTTAATCGATGAAAACTTACCACGGAGAGATCATACAAAATATATTCGTAATAAAATCTTGAGAAATATTGGTATTTTATATAGATCCCGTCAAATCTTGGACAAATCTACACTAACTCAGTTAAATTATTATATTCAGCTATTTGCATTCATCAATAGTAACTTGTCTTATGGCAATATTGTTTGGGTAGTACAAGCAAATCTAAACTCGAATGTCTCCCCAAGCAACAGAATCATGCATCAAGAATTATTTTTTGTTTTATAATCTCTTCACTAATGCAAAACATCTTCTAAGAAGCATGGGCTCTTAATATTTTTGAAACAAACACTCAAAACCACACAATTTATGTTCTAACACCAGTTAAAAAAAAAAAAACTCCAAAGGTTTTCGAAAAATTTTTCATTAAACATCAAACCAATACAATACTCAATCTACAGAAAAATTTATAAAATCTCTCCGCTTATCAAAACTTACAGGATTCTCCATTTCTTATTGTGACCCAATGTTATGAAACCATTTTACAACTTTAAGTCGTAAACTTAGAGATGCCAACGCCGCTCAAAAATTCAAAAAGAACTTAGTTGAACTTATTGCCAATCAAAATTCTCTACTTGATTTTTATTAACAATAAACTTATATCTTCTTTTTATTTTTTAAAGGTTACTGGTAATTTTTTTTTCAGGTTCTCCAGTCTTGTAACTACTATATATGATGAAATGCATTTGTATTTAATATTTTAAAATATTTTTTATGACGGAGATCGCCTTGGATTGTAAATGGTTGCTGACAAAAATAAAAAAATAAAAATGGATAAATTACTGTAACCAGGTATACGTTTTCTTAACCAAAAGGCAAAGAAAATCTGATGGTAGGGTTTGTTACATTTCATGTACTATTAATAATTAAAAATCTGCTGCTTTGACCAGTCCAACAAAGTTATTTTTGTTAAAACAAAGGGTGCTGTAATCAAAGGCGATTCTACAAATAAAATAAGGGGAAGGGGTGAATCCTTAAAATTACCGACTAATTCCTTAAAAAAAAAAAGGTCCTCAAAACAAAAATTCGCCCTACTGAGTTGTGTTAAATACCCGACGGTTAAAATACCGAGGTTAAAAATCACCTTGAATGGGGGGAAAAGGAGATGGGGGAAACACTCTATCCCCCTAAAATCACTTCCGGTGGTCATTAAATATCGCCTATCAAATCCTCACTCAAAATTCTTACAGTTTTCTATTTCCTATCGGGGTCCGTACCTACATAACATAATGTCCAAAAATATAGAACTTAAAGTATTAAATAATCCTACCACTTTAAAAAACAATTTAAAACACCTCATACTTAATATCAATAATTATATCGACATGAATTAAACTTCACAAAATAATTTTACTAAAATATTTATGTGTATGTGACTGTATATTGTTTTACCACTTTTGACTATATGTAAAAAATAGTTAGACTCTATTTTACCAATTAAAGAGGTACTCGATGATAAGTCTTCATAGACTTCTAAGAGTTTTCTTTTACAACAACATGCATATATCTAAAGTAACAAAAATTTTTTTTTATTTTTATTCGTTTATTTTTAAAAAATACTGGTAGTTTTTATGATAAGAAGCATTATTAATTTACGTTATACTTAGTTACGTTATGCTTAGTTAAACCTATTTTAATTTTGTTACGTTATACATTTTAATTTTGTTACGTTATACATGGTATGATTGTGTTATATTTTTTACGCTGCATCATATTATGTCATGTAGTTGTCCCGTAAATTTGTGTAAATTTATTGAAGTTGTATATAAATAAATAAAAAAACAAAAAAAAAAACATCCTCGATAATAAAATTTAAAACGCAGACGCGATTTAAAGATATAACACTTAGAAGCGCACCTAAGCCGTCCGAAATAAATGTAAACAATTTTTATTGTCGGATAGGAAATATAAATAATATTATAAATAACAAGTCGATTTTTTTTGCTATATATTTTTAGCTAATTTTTTTCACCTTATTCGTCTTTCTTTGTTAATTCATTATCGAGATATTTTGTCTCATTATTTTTGATTTGCACAGTTTTTTTGCATTTTTTTTTTTTTACAAATGTTAAAATTTTTCCTTTTTAAAAACCTTTGCATAGAAATTTTTAAAACAACAAACAGTGTTTTATTTCAAAAACTTATCTTTTAAAATGCAAAGCTTTTAAGCATTTTAAAATCAACTTTCTATATGGTAGACATATCTAAAAATATGTAATTAATCCAAATGAACTATCGCTTTCAGTATGAAGAAGTTTTTTAAATAATTAGTATAAAAGTTTTGCTCTTTTTAAGGATTTTAGATGCACGTTAAAAAATGAAATTTTTTTTGAAATTATTTGTTTCATTAAAATAAAAAAAAACATTTGTAAAATGTGAAAAAATGTTTAAGTTCACAAATGAATTTAAAGATATTTACAAAGTTATTGTATATGTGGTACATGATCCACCAATAATTAAGTAATTCTTCTTCCTACTATCGAACAGTATTTGAATGGTTAAATCTAAATTAAACTCTCGATCCATTTCAACTAACTACAATCCTGACATAAAACTTAATAAAATTTAGCATATATAATCAGCTTTTTGAACAACGCTTTGTTTAAATCCTGTTCTACATATACCTTATATAAACATGAATATAATTTATTGCGGACAGCTTAGATGCACTTTTAAATGCTACAATTTTAAATTGAATCTGCATTTTGAATTTTTTTATGGAGATATGATAGGATAATTTATTATCACATAATTTATTAAAATGCACTAATGTTACTTTTCTGTGCAATCATTAAATTAATAAAATTACTAAATACTGATATTGCACTTGAATGTTTGTTTGAAAGTTAGTTTACATTCAAGTAGAAGTCTAAAAGTCTTTACCCCCTGTTTGGTCAAAATTTTTCATGATTTCAGCTATAATCTATTTTATGAGCAGACAATTTAGTACATACATGAAAAACTCTAGTATATTTCCACTCAAGCATTTCACTAATTTCTTTTTGATTGATTGTTGTTTTTTTCATATCTATCTTGGCATCTACTGCTGTGCAGAAGTCATTTTTTGAAGGACAAAAAATTTTGCTTTTATCCCCACAAGTTTTAGTTGAGCTTGTATTTTTCCAAGGGACCTAATATAAGGCCTAAATTGATCTTTTGAAACAGAAGGGAAACAATTTCCATGTTTTTAGTATTCATTAAAAGTGTTCATATCTACACAATTAATTGTAGTATTGTTAGTAGGGTTTAAATGTAAATGTAAATTGCTATTAAAACTGCCTTTTTTGAAAAAAATGATAGTGTTTGGTTAGAACTTCAAGGTTTTGAGTTTTTTCGTGAAAGCAATTTCTGTGATATTTTACATTTAATTATATAATCATCAGTTTTTAAAAAAATTAATCTGGCATATGCTTTTGCAATGTAATTTAAGTTTCAGAAATTTATTGCCCATTTATAATTTATTACAAAAATTCACCATTGCCTATTCTTGTGTGTTAATGTTTTTCTTCGTTACTAGGAGCGTATTATTTGTGATCAGTTTCGGAGGGCTGACCTTTTTTCTTTGTAAGTATTGTTGAAAATACTAATGAGATTTTGAATGAAATACTAATGAGATTTTTTTTGTGATTGATCATGTTGTTTGAAATTTTAACATTACTAAAGTATTCTACCAAACAGGAGAAGATTGAATTGAGGTCAAGGTATCTTAGATCACTTGAAAAATCATTCTTGTAAGTTTCCTGGCAGATTAAACTTTGATTGATTTTTTCTCCATATTTAAATCAGTAATTAACTAACAATTTTGCTTTGATTATTTGCTGAAATAAATATTTAATATTTGATTAATGATGAATTAATATTTTTTTAATGAAATGAGTATTTATTTGATATAAATTAATTAAAGTTTATTTAATTATTTAAACATATTAAAATACATTTTTTTAAATAGAAAAATCCTGTACAACTACAAAAATTATGTTTTGGCAAAAACTTATAAAATGTTGCATGGTTTGTGGGCAAACTATGTCACTAAAAATTAGAGTTAAAAATTTATCTCATATAATCTTTTTATACCAACAACCTGACTAAATACAATATTGCAAACAAAAAAACTCTATATAATTATTATAAAGTATAAATTGTGGTAAAAATGAAAATAATAATTGATTAATTTATTAAAGGATGATCTTGTTTGGTTTGATAATGGTTCTGGAAATGACTTTTTAACTGCTGGAACTATTGTAGAAATACAAGATTCAGTAGCTATTGTTCATGCTCAAGGACAGGTTTGATTTTTTATATAATTTATTAAAGTATATTAGTATAACAAATTTTATCACGTAATATTGTTTTATAGTATTTTATGCTAAAAGTGCTTTATAGTATTTTATGCTAAATCTTTATTAATATAAATTTTGTTAAAACCCTTTTTAAGCAGTTTTATATAGAACTAAAGAACTATATATGTATATATATATATATATATATATATATATATATATATATATATATATATATATATATATATATATATATATATATATATATATATATACATATATATATATATATATATATATATATATATATATATATATATATATATATATATATATATATATATATATATATATATATATATCAGTATTCTTCATTTAGCCAGTGCTTTCGCACTTTTGTGATATAATAGCGCTTGCCAAAAAAATAAAAGCATTTTGTTTTAAACTGCAACAAAAAATATTTTTGTTCATTTGTTCAATATTTGTTTTAATGAAAAATACTTTTTTTACAAGTTTTTTTAAAAATTATTTTATCTAGTATTTATTCAAAGTATTCTTTTTGCTTTTTTATGTTAATTTAAATAGCAGAAAAAAATAAAGTTTTTAAATCGTGGAGGCTAATTTAATTTCAAATGGAGAAGACTGATATATATATCTTTGTATAGTAGTCAAAAGAGAATTTAATGATATAAAAAGTCTCTTTCAATGCTTTTTAACTTTAAGAATCAAGAATTAAGCAACATTTTAATCTCACTTAACATTAAAAAAAATTAAAATATGCAGAAGTATATTAAGTTTTATTGTTTTTTTAAAAAACCCCAATAATTATGACTAGAAAGTTTTTAGAAATTAATATTTTTTTTTTTTAAATTGTTTTATAGTATTTTTAAAACATGCAAGGAGTGTTGCTACATTGACATTTCATTTAGACATTTTTCTAAATAAATTTTATTTAACTTTTCAACAAAATTTGTTTAATTTAGTCTCATGAAATCGAAATTAGACACTTAAAAAAAAGAGATGAAACAGGTGCAGATGGAGAAGACAACATGATAAAATTAAGGTATGCAATTAAAATTTTATTAAATATTTACTGTTATTAATAAATTTCAAACTAATACTTTGGTTGCTATATATATATATATATATATATATATATATATATATATATATATATATATATATATATATATATATATATATATATATATGTATATATGTCTCTCTCTCTCTCTCTCTCTCTCTATATATATATATATATATATATATATATATATATATATATATATATATATATATATATATATATATATATATATATATATATATATATATATATATATATATATATATATATATATATATATATATATAATTATATATATATATATATATATATATATATATATATATATCTATCTCTCTCTATATATATATATATATATACTATATATATATATATATATATATATATATATATATATATATATACATATATATATACATATATATATATATATATATATATATATATATATATATATATATATATATATATATATATATATATATATATATATATATATATATTTATATTTATACATATATATATACCAGTAATAAGAGTAATTTTTCGGTAGAAAGTGTTCAATACAAAAGTAGAACAAATATATTATATTATATTAAGATAATAATAAAATACATTTAAATTTGTAACATAACTCGGAGTTTCACGCTTTATGTGATCATCAGACATTACAAACAACCATAACAACAACAAAAATTATATACAAAAATACAATACAGTGTTAGCTTAGATGACATTAAATTGCAGATAAGAAATTTGTTTTTCGTGGCGGCATTTAGATATTAATTTATTTTGTTTATTTAATAGTTTCAGATATGATGTAATGATATGGTATTTTTCCGTTAAACAAAGGTTACATAACTTCCTTCCAGGTTTAAAAGGTTTCACCCTATCAATAATCTTCCACGTAATAATAGGATTTAAAAGATCCCTGATTTTTCATTTCCCAGATATATTTAGAAAGTTTTGTGGCATTAAATTTACTTTTGTATTGAAAGGAGTTCTTATGCTTGTACCAGCCATCTCCAGCAATCAACAATGAAAGAGCAGTTGTATTTGTCTTTAATATTGCGGAACCAGTTTATTACATCATCCGTATTATGCAATTGATTTACAAGGGTGGCTTATCTCACTTTATTGTTGACAACCTTCACAATGTACTTTGCAAGGTATATGTCTTAGTAAAAATATAATTTATGCCTGCAATGTAAAAACATCACCGCAGGATAGTGGTTTAAATTATATTGGTTTAACAGAGCACACCTTTAAAGATCACTCGTACAAGCATAAGAACTCCTTTTAATACAAAAGTAAAGTTAATGCCACAGAACTTTCTAAATATATCTGGGAAATGAAAAATAAGGGATTTTCAAATCTTATTATTACATGGAAGATTATTGGTAGGGCGGAACCTTTTAAACCTGGAAGAAATTTATGTAACTTTTGTTTAATGAAAAAGTGTCATATTATTGCATCATCTTTGAAACTATTACATAAACGAAATGAACTAATATCTAAATGCCGCCACAAAAACAAATTTCTTATCTGCAATTTTAACGTCATCTAAGCTAACACTGTATTGTATTTTTGTATATAATTTTTGTTGTTGTTATGGTTGTATGTAACGTCTGATGATTGCATGAAGCGCGAAACTCCAAGCTATGTTGCAAATTTAATTGTATTTTATTATTATCTTAATATAATATAATATAGTATAATATAATATAATATATATATATATATATATATATATATATATATATATATATATATATATATATATATATATATATATATATATATATATATATATATATATATACATATATATATATATGTATATATATATATATATATATATATATATATATATATATATATATATCATATATATATATATATACATATATATATATATGTATATATATATATATATATATATATGTATATATATATATATATATATATATATATATATATATGTATATTATATATATATATATATATATATTATATATATATATATATATATATATATATATATATATATATATATATATATATATATATATATATATATATATATATATATATATATATAGATAGATAGATAGATAGACATAATATATAATATTTGCACATTTTATGTTTTAAAATGCTAACATTAACTTTTACAGATTTAAGTTTTTTTGGAACAATGTTTTGCTTTAATTTCTCCATCAATGGATCACTTTGAAGTTTTTTTTATGATATACCTTATATTTTTGATCTTTTTCTATCAAAGTAGTTTTCCTATCGAAGCTTATCTGCATTTAAATCTTCTTGCTAGATCTCTCTGCGTCTGACATGAATTCACCTTTATAGAGTGAATGATAGAATTTGCTTTATATTTATCTTTGAATCATTTTTTTTCACTTCCAGTTTCTCTTTTAATAGACTGAGTCTATATTACTGTTTATATTGCTGCAAATTAAATCTGGCTGAGAATCAAGAAACACAGTCAATTTTGAAATGTAAACTTGTGACAATAACGGATTTTAATGAAAAGAGCTCTTAAATTTTCTTCAATTTAATATTTATTTACTTATTTTAATCCAATGACAATGATAACCAAAAGGTATTATCTTTACAATCAAACAAAAGCACATTAGCCTCTGTGTGTAAAAGTTAAAAAGAATTGCCAAATAGTTTTTGAGTAAGTAATGACTTAATGAGTTTTATTGTGTTTTACCTATACATCTTGATACTTTATAAAACTTTTCAACTTCTAAAATTTTAAAAGGTGTTTTGCTCATTTGGTTGTGTTTTGTTAAAGTCTACTAAAATCATTATAATATAATCATAATTATAATATAATATAATTATAAATTGTTATATAAAATAAAATCAGCGAAATTTTTATTGTTAAAATCATTATAAATGTCAAAAAACAAAAAAAAAAATTAATTCATTTTTTCTTTAAAATCAAATTTTCTTGCAGTTACAATTAGTTTTTTGATTTAATATTTTATTAACATATGTATTATTTTACATAAAGCTATTATAAAAGCATTGAAAAAAAGTATTGTCTTTTTTATTAAACTTTTGTTCTTTTCTTTTAATGTTTTTTTTAATAATTGAATTATTCATTTTAAAAAAATGTCTAATAAAGTTGTGAAAATGTAGGAAGAAACACATACTTCTTCCCTCTAAAACCTTTTTAATGAAATTAAGATAAAAAGTTTTGATATGGAAATGGTCATCTTGGTCTAGATGGTTAGATTTATCTATTAAAAAGAAGTTTTGATAGGGAAATACATATCAAATAAGGCATATGGAAAATAAGCATACTTGGTTATTTCCCACATTGAATTTAATCGAAATCAATTATCAACTCAAATTTTTGTATTTAGTATGTCATATTATATATTTATTTACATTATATAGTTAATAACATACAATATATTAATAGTTTCCAATAATTTAAATGATTTCAAGGTTTTAGTAATCAAAAAATGGGATGAAATTCCTAATGACCTTTTCCATGCCAGCTGTGAATTTTTTAAGAAAGTTCATATGTGTATCAAAGAAAGTTCATATGTATATCAAAGAAAAAGGAGAAAGATTTGAAATAAATTAACTTTTTGTATTAAATATTAGTTTAACTCAGAACAAAATAATTTTTTACAAATCAAAAATGTAAATCCCCGGTGTATTTTATGTTTATATAGGTGCGTCAACTTATACTTTTACGTTCTAGGTTTTTATTTTTTGAAAAAATTATTTATATTTTATATTTTAAAAAAGGTTTAAAAGTTGAAATTGTTTTTATAAATAGATTTTAGATTTTATTTTAATTTTTTTTATTTTTGTTACTAGGCTACTATTTAGTGTTAAATTATTAATTATAATTGTTAGTAACTGTTATTAATAGTTACTGCTAAATTGTTATTATTAATATCAAATTTATTTATTGTTAAAGAGATGTACATGAAGGTTCAGTGATTTTTAATCTTAAGAAGCGTTTTTATAGAGGAATCATCTATGTAAGTATGGTTTGTAAATCATTTTTTTCTTTATTTTAAAACGCAAACTATTATAAAAGTTATTCTATTATTCAGAAATAAATTTATTAGTAAATAAGTTAGGTAATAAAAAATTTTAGCAAATAATGTACATTTATTATTATATTACATATATTATAAACTATATATAATTTATTGTTATTAATTAACTGCAATTTATAATATTATGACATTTTTTTTAGACATACATTGGAAACATACTATGCTCAGTAAATCCCTATAAGCTATATAATATATACTCCTTAGATATATTGCATCAATATGAAAATAAATTGTTAGGAAAATTACCACCGTGAGTATCTATATCTTTATCTGTATCTATATCTATCTTTATATCTCTATCTCTCTCTCTCGCTCTCCCTTGATATATATACATATATATAAATCTAAATATATATTAGTGTGGCTCTTAAAACATTTTTTTTGAGAAAAAGCTGCTACCACCCCCTAAATGTGTTCTATCTAATACAAAAACACTAGGTTTACATTTTTTTTAAATAAAAAATGTTTTAAGGGGTACCTCAAGACCCTTGAATATTTAATGGGTCCCTAATATTTTCAAAAAAAAAGTTTTTAAAAAATATGTCAACCTGGTACTCAAATGAAGCAAAATTTTATAAAAATTTCAAAAATAATATAGTAAAACCAAAAATAACAGTTATTTTTTGAAATAAATATTATTTTTGAATTTTTTATAAAATTTTGCTTTTTTTTTTGAAAATATTAGGAGCCCATTAAATATTCAAGGGTCTTGAGGGACCCCTTAAAATATTTTTTATTCAAAAAAAACGTAAAACTAGTGTTTTTGTATTAGATAGAATACATTTAGGGGGTGGGAGCAGTTTTTTCTCAAAAAAGTTGTTTTAATAGCCACCCTTCTATATATATATATATATATATATATATATATATATATATATATATATATATATATATATATATATATTATATATATATATATATATATATATATATATATATATATATATATATATATATATATATATATATATATATATATATATATATATATATATATATATATATATATTTATATATATATATATATGAATATATATATATATATATATATATATATATATATATATATATATATATATAATTAAGGTTTTTTGTAATAATTTTATTTGTAATAAATTTGTAAATTTTTATTATTTTTGATATATTACTTAGTTTTTTAATCAATTTAATTTAGACATATTTTTGCTATTGGGAATATTTGTTATTACAACATGCAGAAAGACAATGAAGACCAAGTGATCATTCCCAGGTAATTTAAGAAGTCTATATATATTTATATAAATAGAATATGCATATATATATATATATGTACATTTATAAATATATATGTATATATATATATATATATATATATATATATATATATATATATATATATATATATATATATATATATATACATATATATATATATATATATATATATATATATATATATATATATATATATATATATATATATATATATATATATATATGAGTATATGAGTTTGAGTTTGATATATTCATTTATACATTTAAACCGCAATAATGCCGTAACAATAATTAAAAAATATGTACATATACATATGTATATATTTAAATGTTAAATTGTTAATTTGATGAAGAGACTTTTCCAGGAGTCTTTATGCTGATTTAACAGTTTATCAAAATCCGATCTTTAAATGCATTTAAAGATGGAGCGTTTACCATGTGCTGTGTGAGAGAGATCCAATGGACCACAACTCAATTTGTGAAAAAGTTTGATCTTTCCTCACATCCTCTTACGAATTGACGATCAAGCTGCTTGTCATGGCCGCGTAGGTTGTACACCTCATGCCCAATTAGTTGGTGCTGTGAGACCGTAAAATGAACTTTGTCATAGTTGTTGAAAATTTTGAATTGTTCGATTATATCACCACGCAAGTAACGTTCTTTGAGGGTAGTTAGTTTGAGTACCTGCAGACGCTTTATTTTATCAAAATGGCTGATAGATGATATTGTCTCAGTGACGCGATCTTGAACATCTTCGAGCAACTTAATGTCTGTTTCGAGATAAGGAGACCAGGCTTAAATGGCGAATTCTAGATGTGGCCGGACATAAGATATATAGAGTGTGCGCCACAAGGTTAAGTTTCTACTGCGGAAAGCAGTAGAAACTTAACCTTGATCCCAATAATTTTGCTGTCATCAGCATATAGCATTATTTTGTGTACGATACTATCAGGAAGATCGTTTATAAACAAAATAAAAAGCAGTGGCCCCAAAACAGAACCCTGCGGAACTCCACTTGTGACGTTCTTCCACTCAGAAACGTGTTCTCCCAAGACAACACGTTGCTTATGATCTTTTAGCCACAATTTAATCCAAAGTAGCAACTTTTTGTGAATGCCGTATGCTTTTAGTTTATGTAGAAGACGTTTGTGTGGGACTTTATCGAATGCCTTAGCAAAATCTGTATAGATAATATCAGCAAAAATATTATTTTAGAGTTTTTTGCAGAAAAATGAGCTTTTTTAACCTAAAAATAAAAAAAGTGTATTTTTCCGATAATTATTCCAAAAAAAAAATTGAATAATAATTTTTTTTTATAAAATGATTGTTATTTTTAAAATTTTTATATAATTTCGCTTTTTTTGAGACCCAACATGACATACTTTTGAGAAAATTTTTTTAAATATTATTAGGGACCCGGTAAGTGTTCAAGGGTCTTGTGCTCTCCCTAAATCCAATAAAATTTTGAAAAAATTTAACAGAGTTGTTTGTTAGAACCAATAAAAAGTTTTAAGAATATAAACAGATTTTTTTTAGAATATAAGGGGCGGGTGGGACACCCTAATATGTATATGTGTATATATATATATATATATATATATATATATATATATATATATATATATATATATATATATATATATATATATATATATATATATATATTTAAGATTATAGTTAAGAATTATTTTCAATATTTTAAAGCTGTTATGAAATATATAGGTTGCAATTTATAAGAATGTATATTTTGATATATTGCATTGAGGTGGTCTTTTTTAAAATGTTTGTTTTACTTTTATAGAAATTTTCACATGTGATGATCTCTGATCAAAAATTACAAGTTTAGGATTTTTAGATCCCTCAAGATACTTGACATTTAAGTGACAGATTGCATAACTTGTTATTAGGTTGCATATAACATATACAAAAAATACTAAAATGTTTGTAAATGATTAAAAAAATACTTTTTTTAATTGTTTACAAAAAATACTAACTAGATGTAATCAAACTATTTTATTATCTTTAATAAAAGATCAGGGCCAACGACACCAGGGGGCCATCTTTAATAATTCAAGATTACAATTATCAATCCCTAAATTATTGAGCATTTAATTTTCACAACTTAATTTATCCAACAACCAAACAATATGTATATTAGTACTTTAAAACTTTGTTACTTGTTTGTAATAATAAACTGCTAGTTAGTTGATGCAAAAGTTCAATGTTTTAACTAAGTCAGTGTTTCAACGTACTCTGGTCTACCCTAATTCAACAAACTATGACTTTTTTTCCAATGAAATTTGTTTACTTGAGGCATTGAAAGTAATACATTTCTGGATAAAGGTATAGAAAAAGTTAATGAATTTCACAAAACATTCTCGTAACAAGCTGGTTTTGGGTATATTAAAAAATAAGAAAGAAATATAAATTAATTTTGAACTGTTTATTAAGCAAATTTTAATAAAACCAAATCTTATTCTGTTTTAATTAAACCAAATCTTATCCTGTTTTAAAATTACTTTATTAAAATAAATGTTTTTATTACATGACTTTAAATCAATGTAGTATTACATAGATATTGTATGATATTTATAAATCAAAAATCTATTACTTTTATTTTAAAATTTGTTAATTTAATTAAAATGTTTTAATTGTTATTTTAAAAGTTATTAATTGCCATAGAGGAGATTCTGGAAGTGGAAAAACAGAATTAATTAAACTCACTGTAAATTATTTGGCTAATGCTAATGTTATGGGAAGTAGTCTTGTGATTGAGCAGGTTTGTTAGAATTTATTATTATTATTTTTATTATTTTTCAAAATTAACCATGTACCTTTCAAAACCTAAACAACCTTTGAATCACTAGCTTTTTTTAAAGTTTAAATTCAATGATTTTGCACTTGTTTAGTTTGAATGGGTTTCCATTTTGTTATTTCCTTACTTAATATGACATTATAGAGTTGAAGTTTTGAACTTATTGCGAAGTTGAACTTTTTTTATAACCAGATGCTCCTACTGATTTTATTTTGCACTTGTTTAATGCGGATGGGTTTCTTGTTATTTCCTTATGAATTTATTGTAGAGTTAAAGCTTTTTATAATCAGATGATAATAATAATCCTAACTTAATAATCAAATGATAATAATAATTCTAACTTTTACAGATCAGGACTGAGTATTTTTACTGTGATACTGTTGTTAGGGAGATGTTTCATTTACCATGTTTGTAGAGCCTTCTCTGTTTTATGTATACACATTGTAGTTATATGTGATGTACTGTTAAATATATGTGATAAAGTTCACATTTTATCACATATATATGATATAGGCTTGTTTATAAAACAACAACCAGATGTTTGTTTAAACAACCACATCATTAATATTGCTTTATAGTTTGAATCCATAACAATAAATGATAAATGATTGGTGCAACAAACATTTAAGAGTAATATATAAGATGTTGATATAATACTTAATTACAGTTACTTTTGCAGATTAAGGTTGGCTTCATCCTAATATTTTTTAAAGTTTAAGTTTTAAAAATGCTGAAATAAATCCAAGCAGTTTTTTCAGAAGAAAAAAAATTTTTTTTTTCCATAATAAAAGTCTTTTACATCTATAGTGCCCAATCCCTCTAAATTAATTGAAGTCCCCAGGTGATGTCATCAATAATGGTTTATAAAAGGTTAAGTATGTTAAGTATGCAAAGATGTTTATATATGTATACATATACATATATATATATATATATATATATATATATATATATATATATATATATATATATATATATATATATATATATATATATATATATATGTATATATACATATATATATATATATATATATATATATATATATATATATATATATATATATATATATATATATATATATGTATATATATATATATATATACATATATATATATATATATATATATATATATATATATATATATATATATATATATATGCATATATATATATATGTATATATATATATATATATATATATATATATATATATATATATATATATATATATATATATATATCATATTGTGTATTTAGCTGATCAGTATGAGGTCATATCAAAATTATTTTATAACCTAATTTGAGACCTTTTTTTCTTAATTTTTGCAATCATTTCTGACAACCATTCATTGCCTTTTTCCTATATATTAATTTTTTGTTTAATTTATTTAAGATTTTAGAAAGTTTTTCATTGTTGCAATCATTTGGAAATGCAAAAACAGTAATTAATGATAACTCTAGTCGGTTTGGAAAGTATATTGAAATATTATATGAAAAGTATGTTTTATATTTTAGGGATTTTTTAAAAATGTGAAATTTTTTATCCTTTAATATAATTTTTTTTTTTTAACTTTTAGTGGAAGGATTTCTGGTGCAGTAATTTCTATTTACTTACTAGAAAAATCAAGAATAGCATACCAAGTAAGTTATTTCATTTTTTATTTGTTTTTAGTACATTTATTTTATTAATTATCTTATTTGTTTGTTTTTAATTATAAATTGTTTTGTTCAGCTTGTTTTGTTATACTTACCTCGTGACTACATTAAACAAAATGTAATAATAATGTAAGACTTTTAGAAAATTAGAAACGAAATATAAAATATATACATTACGAAGTAAGAAAATTAGAAAGTACTAGAAATATTTTTATAAAGTGTAAACTATTAGGTTTGAGTAACTACAAATACTTTTGAATCATTTTTTTTATTAAAAAAAAAAATTAATAATGTTATACTTGATCATAGCTATATATTTTTATTAAATTTTAGCATCCTGGAGATAGAAACTTTCATATTTTTTATGAAATGCTTGCAGGTTTGCCTATAGAAGACCAAGAAGCTATGGGCCTTGATAAACCTGATCTTTTCTTTTACTTAAACCAGGTATGGGGTTTAATACGGTGTTGCTAAAGCAAAATACATATTAACTACCTACCTATATACATACATACAGCTTGTCTTGATTTATGCACTCAATCCATATAATGCCATATAATATTAATATTGTTAGTATTATACTTTTACAAGATGAGCATCATACATTTTAGATTTTTTTTTTTAAAATTTAAAAACAATGTTTTAGTTTTGTTTTTCCTGTTTTAAAAGAAAGATTAGTGGAGAAGTTGTTTCAGTTCTTTTAGAGGTTGTAAGGTTTTTCTTATAAACTTGGGTAACGCTTTGTTTATAAAAGTTCTTTACAATTAAAATATGTTTTAATTACTTCAATAAGAATATAATAATATTGAAATAAAATGAAAAAAAAAAAAAAAGAAATACATTATTTAATAAGATTTTTTGGGAGAGAATAGCAACTTTTACTATTTGAGCTCTCTACTGCATAGAAGATTTTGTGATTATTGCTATTTATCATTTGCAAGTTTTTGTATTCAGTAATAATTCAATAGTTTAAATTGAATTTTAACTGCAGTTTTCTAGAGAGTTGGAAAAACTGTAGTTAAAATGAACCTAAAAAAAACTAGAATATTAAGACTAAAATATTATAGTTGTTTGGTCTTGATTAACCAAGTAATAATATTATATTTTTTATTTATAAAATAATTGAAGTGACTCATATTTAACTTGATTTTTTTAAGTAAAATTTAATACTATGCAATTGGAGTGATTAATGCAACAAAAACAACTGGATTGATTAATGCAAATAAAATTTAATTTAATTGTGAAACATAAATCTTATTATTATTATTTAATGCAATTATATTAAATTTTGTAAATACTAATAAAGATTATTCAGAGCAATAGTTTTACAGAGAACAAAAGCCCTCTGTTAAATAATCTATAAGTATTGTAACAGTTTATAATAGAATAAACTTTACCATAGAATAAATATTGTCCTTGGTCATACGTAAACATGGTCTTATCACAATGCGTAAGCATTTAACTAGAAAGTTTATGCGTCTTTACTCACCAATTATTAAGTCTTGGACCTCTTAGTTCTGAGCCAGACTCAAGATTATTGTGCCACAGCTAGTTATGAACAAATATTGCTACTGTTAGAATTAAGAGAAGTTAGCAGTGGATTTGTTAATAAATTTAATAAAGTTCTTGAAAATGGTGAGGTCTCTTGTATTTTTAATGCCAAAAAATATTTAAAAAAGAATATAAGAATAATTGTGGAATTTAGAGGTAGACATTTTCTTGATGGTTTTAAGGGAAACTATTGTTCTGAATACATTGAACTAGGTGGCATATATCTGTTTTGCTTTCTTTCTGCTTTTATTTGCAGACTGTCTAGTTAAATAGCTGAAAAAATATAAAAAAAGTAGTAAAAAACCCTAAGTGGCAAAATGTGAAAATAAGTAAGCATAAAATTACATATTAAATTACTCATTTTTTTTAAAGCTGTACTCTTTTTTGTTCTGTTTTTAGTTCTGAAAAATTTTTCCTTTCTTATTCAGTTAATTTTATTAAACTGTTTTTTCAGACAACTCTAATCACTTAAGTTAACTCCTTGCTTTATATCTTGTCTCCGGCCCCAGTTTTCTTAATGCTTTTCTTTAGTTGGTTCCTATAATGCTATGATCTCACTAAAACCTTTATCTCATACTTTTTCTATTTCAGAATCACCCTATTACTACACTTTTTTACTTCTTCAGTAATGTTAAGCTCGGCTTAAGAAATCTTGTATTTTATTTCAAAAGTTTTATTCTAGAGATTTCTGGATTATTTCTAACATATGGGTCTGATCTTATAATCTTTCCACAAGGCCACCTTTATAAGTATATTTACCATACACTTCCTAGTATTGTATAGAAAGAAATTAATTCATTGTTAGACATCTAATCACTTTGTCATTTTCTACAGTTTGTAGTCCTGACATCTCTTTCATTTCCACTAACCTCTGGAGTACTGCAAGATTCTATCTTTAGGCTTTTGTTTTTTTTTCTATTTTTTAATGAACTTACGGATAATCTTTCATTTTAAAAATTTAAAAGTTTTAAAGTTTTTTCTTCTCAAACAATATAAAAACACATTTTTGATGTAGCTAGACTTGGTACCAGTCTTTTCCCCTTTACTAAAATCTTGCATAGCTTTCTAAATAAAATACATTATTTTTCATGGTTGTTGCTTCAGTAAGCTCTCATCTCTTATTCCACCAACCAAATTGGTGGATTTTTTTATTCAGCAAAATTGTATTTCTTAACTAAAACTGTTTCTTCGTGCTTAATAAAGTTTTCTTACTCTAACAATTTACAGTTTTTTTGTCAACCATTTTCTTCCTTTATAAATCTCTTTTCATAACTACCAATTACCTTGCAGCTTAATTGGCAACAAGTAACAACTATTCATGCTAAGTTATTTTGTTGATTATATCTCTCTTAACTTCTTAATTCTGCAACTTGAATTATGATGAACAAAGCTCCTAAGAAGAGATCCATGCAGCAGCCATCAGTTGAACATGGTTCTACAGGACATATGTTGAAGATTTAATTTTCTCTCTTCACTCCTTGTTTGTGTCTTGTTTCTTGTCTACCACTGACTCATCATTTAGAATAATTAATGTTATAAACAGTAAAGTTTAAAGTTTTAAAAAAAAGAGCACTAAACTTTTAAAAACTTTATTTATAAGTAAAATTTAAATGTTTTTTTGATTTTATTTCTTTTTAATAAACTTTGGTTTTAATGATTTTTCTTAAATCTTTCCCCAAATATGGTTTCCATGGTTTCCATGATCTTTTTGGCTGATTTTTTAAATTTTATTTTCTTTTGGAGTCAAATTCACTTTTATATTAAAGCCATTTATTATAATTTTCAAAGACCCTCTGATACTATTAAATTGTTTTAGGGTACTTTCTCCTTTAGAGAAAATAAAATTTTAATAAGATTTTCATAATAATTATTTTTTTTCAAAATAAATTTTCAATGCTTCTTATTTTTATTTTAATCAACTATATTAGCAATTAGATATGTTTTTTCAGCTTTGTTGATATATAAATGTTTTTTATGACCTTTGGTTTTGGTTTTTAGTTGAAACTGCTACAATTAAAACTTGCATTTGAAACTTAACTGCATTTACTTACTGTGTAACTGTTCTTTTACATTGATTTGTTATTGCATAACTGCACCTTTACATTGATTTGTTACAACATTGTAGGGCTTACTAAAGAGTATTTAATTTTTTATTGCATTATCAATATTTTTTGTTACTGTTTTTTTTTTCCGGTTGTTATAATTTTTAAAAAAGGATAAATTCTTTTTAGGGTGCAAGTTCAAAAATTGTTTCTAAAAATGACATGCAGGATTTTCAAAATGTTATTGCTTCTATGGAAGTCCTTGGAATAAATGTTAGTTTTTGTTTCTGCCAGTCATTTTATTTTGAATTTCATTATTATCTAGTAATTATCTGACAATTTTTTTTTAATAATTATATTTGTATGTGTAATGATAATAAAATATATGTATGTATGCATGTATGAGTACATACTAAAGTGCATACTTAAATGAATGAATATGTGCATAAATACATACATGTCCTAATATACATATGCCCACGCATGTAGCTATGTATACAAATATACACATAAATACATACGTACATACATGCATTCATACATACATACAAAAAGTTTAATTAAGTAAAATAAATTCTTTGTAGTATATTATTTAGTTTGGCTAAAGCTTTTTCCTTTTCAATTCTGTTGCAAAGTGTAAATTTTACAAAATACTTTTTACTCAAAAACAGGAACCTTAAGGAACAAAAAATGTTCTATAGTTTGTATAACTAGTTACTTTAATTTTACTTAATTTACCTTATTTTCTTATTTTTTATTACTTATACTTATACACACTTGGTAAGAAAAAACAAAACAAAAAAAAACTCGAAAATTAAAAAAGTGTAATTTAGTTTTAAAAATTTATATATTTTGGTTTATTTCTTGTTTTAGTCAGAAGAAAGACATGGAATATTTTGTTTGTTATCAGCCATATTGCATATTGGAAATATTTATTTTGGAAGAACCCAAGTAAGTATTTGATAGTGTTGTTACAACTTTGAAATAACATGACTGTCAATTAAATTGAATGTGTTTTTTTTCGACTAAAATCAACTAAAAGTCAACTAAAATCAACTAAAAGTCAATTAAAAGTTGACTAAAATCTTTTGTGGAAATCGACTAAAAGTCGAAATATTTGAATTTTTTAAAGTTATAATATTTAAATGTTGCTCGGCAATTTATTTCTTAGATGAAATAAATAGAGCTTTAAAAGACTAAACAAAAAATTAGGTGGTATTGTTCTATTAGATTAGTTTAAATTGAGAATAAACAAACAAAACAGAAATTACAATAGAAAAAAATAAGATGACCATTTTATATGTCTTGGTTTAACAAGACACATTGTTCAGCCAAATCTGGTTTAAGTCTATTTTGCCATTCTGTAATGATTTCGGCAACATTTGAAAAAAATCTTCAGAAGGCGTTGATGAAGCAGTTATACAAAAGAGCATCTTCGCTATCTTTGACAAAATCTTTGCTATCAACACGAAAAATGGACAATACAGGAAATTGGCATAAATTATTTTTATAAAATGCAAGGGGACATGAACATGTAGATCTAAATATGTAGCTGCGTACAACTTTTCAATTTTGAGAAAATCCTCACATCTTCGATTACAATTATCTTTGAATTTGATGGCAAAATTCATAATATTATAATTACTTGATTCACTTTTGAAGTTAATAAAGTAATCAGTTAATTTAAAAACAGCTGGTAATATAATTGAACAAGTGGTATATTTTCATCCTCTAAAAATTTTTGTAAAATCATGTATTGGCTCTAATAAATCAATTAGCTTGCTAATGATTTCCAGTTCCCAGCTTTTTAATAATAAAGTCTTATTATTTTTGTTCTTGATTCTCTGGCTTGATAATAATATCTTTGATCGATTCGTTAAGTTTAAAAACTGACTGCAACATTAAAAAGGTCGAACTCCACGGAGTAGCAACGTCTTGTTTTAACTTGTTAATTGAACATTTATCTTCTTGATTTTCATTTTATTTAACTAAACACAATTTACAAGCTGAGCAGAAAGGTTATTACTATGTTTGAATGAGCCAACGAGTTTTCTAAATTTCTTTAAAATTATGAAAACGCAATGATTTTTGTCAGTTGATAGTTCATTCTCTTTTACAAGAACATCTTTAACAAATTAATTTAATATATGATAAAAACAAGGTATGTACAATTTATTAAATAGATGTTCTAGACAATGTTTGATATTCGCAGCAGTGTCACTACTCATTTAAAGTGTTTTATCACTTATTTTCTATTAATTTAGAACTAAATTTGATCTTTTAAATATAGGCTAGTATAGGTTTTTGGGATATGCTTTAATGCAATCCGAATCAATTTCAAACAAAAATTTTGATAAAAAAATGTACTGTGGCGCCGGCGTATGAATGCGAGACTTGTGATGTCCATCCATCTGTGATTAGAAGGCAAAATTCAGCTTGGTTTAAAAGATGCATTACTTTTACTTTAAATGATTCAATTTTAAGAGGCACTATTTCATATGAAAACTTTTGTCTCATTGGCAATTTGTACTTGTTATCAAATGAAGCTAGCATTTTAATGAAGTACTTATTATCAACAATCAATAGCTTTTGACCTGTTTGAAAAACAAATTTACTCATAGATTCCTCTAAATCTCTATATTTCTACAAAATTGAACAATATGAGTGAGAGTTTGCAAATGCAGCTTTGATAGATACATGACCAGTTGTTGTACTTGGAAGTTTAGACTCTTTAATATTAATCCAATGTTTACTATACAAATGATTTGACATTGAGCTTGTATTTTTATTGTATTTTAGCTCTTTGTTGCAAATTTCGTTTGTTTAAGTATCTTTATATTTACACGTTGTTATTATCATTGTTATCATTGTTTGATTGTTATTATCATTGAGTTATTGATTTTCACAAAATAATTCCAGACTTTACTTTTATGAATGTTTCAGTTCGACATTTTATTTCTACCATAAAAAGAATTCCTTCATGCAGAAATAATATCCTAAAGAATTTGCATGAGTACCTATCATTATTATTATTAGAATTATTCTAATCATTATTAATTTTTAAAGGGAGTTAAACCAATTGTTTAAAATGTCCATTGGGAAATATTATTATATGTATCAATCAATAAAAAGAATTTGATTGAATTTATTGACTTCTTAAATTGAATTAAAATAGAGAGAATTGAAAAAAAAAAAAAATTCTCTCTGTATCATTTATCAAAACAATTCAAGCAAAAGTTTGTAAGGCATAATTTTTGTGGCGTATCAAAGTGGAGGTTGGTAGGGCCAAACTTTTTTGTGGGTTTCAGATTTATAAAACTTTGTATCTTTTTGGCATTATTAACTGATGACACATTAAATATTTTTTTAAAGAATTAACTTTTTATAACAAGTCAGTATAAATGAGAAAAGATATACATTAATGTAGTGGCACAGCATATAGTAAGCTTAGAGCTGAGATTATGTGAAACAGCAAATTAGATTCAATGTTAATATAGTTTAGTTGAGTTAAAAATACAGCTATGAATAATGATCTTGCGCATGGCTCAATCTTTACAAATATTTTATCTTTATAAAATAATCTACTCATAAGGATATATCTTTACTAATTGGTCAGCATCATAATAAAATTAAATATTTACAAAGTTAAATCAAACAAAGAGATAAAGATAAAAATTTTAGGACCTGGCTAAATTGACTTTTAGTCGATTAGTAGAAAATCTGAAGTCGATTAAATCAACTATTAGATTTTTTATAGTCGACTAATTTCGACTTTCAGTTGCCTTTTAGTCTGTTTAGTCTAAGTCAATAACAACACAGTATTTTTTATTTATTCTTTTTGTTATTATTATTTTTATTGTATTTGATACTTTTTTTATTAAAATTTTTACTATTATTTTTCATTTCATTTTTTATGATGTTTAACTAAAGTAATAGCACAACACAGTACTCAACACAATTTTCACTTTTTTTAAAATGAGTTTTTGACAAAAATTAAAAAAATATAATAGAGAAAAATTTTTTTTTTTTATTACTGATTTAACATAATATTTAACTTGTAGCAAAATGTTCAATAGATGTTAAATTTCTACATGCTATCATAAAAATAAATATAGGTAAATTTATCGGTATATATTAATAGGTAAAATTATTTAATTATATGTTGCAATTTTTTGTTCCAGTTATATGTTTAGAAATCGTTAGATCAAGTCAGGTCAACACATAATCTTGTATAACCTTGTTTCTTGGCTTTGTTTGTCAAGGTTTCTGTTTTGGAGTTATTTAGTTGAGATTTTAGCCTCCTTGACTGTAGTGGCCTTCATGGTCTGGGAGGTGAATTCAAATAAAATAAAAAAATAGTCTCAGATCCTGCTGCTATAATAGACTTTCTTTTAGGCGAAAGTTAAGAGAAATAAACTCTGACTTGACATGCTTCTATTTTATTATTTTTCTATTATTTGAAAACTTTTTGAATTAACTTTTTAAAAACTTTTTGAAAACTTTTTGAATTAACTTTTTGAATTAACAAAAAGTTGAATAAATTAAACTTTTATTCAAAATTAAATTTTTTGTTTTCATTGTTTTAAAAATCTCACAGCTTACCTTATCTGTAATTATGAGGTTTATTAAAATCTATGTCTTAATAAATGGTTATATATCAGTTTGTTTCATCATATATCTAGCATTTAGATTATTTAGATTAAAGAAAAATGAAAATATGTTTTTTTTCAAAAAAGGACATGTTTTTTAGCTTTATCCAAAATAATAAAAGTAATAGCTTATCTAAGCAACTTTTATGAACAAATAAAATGGAGAATATTAGTAATATGTACAAAATATACATGAAATGTTTAAAAGTTATTTTTTCCAAGGAACTTCAAATTCAAAAACTCAAATTTTCTTGATTCTTCATGAAGTTCCTCCATCAGTTTTACTGCACGTTCAGCAATTTGGTTAGATCTGGGAATATCAATGAATGACTCCTTGATTGACCAATGTGTCTTTAAACACTTAATTGCTTTCTTGCATTTTATCTTGATGAGTGAGGTTAATAGTTCATTGAAGGATGCTTCATTGTAGTGTTGCGAATGGAACCAAGCATTTGCCCATTCGTAGCAGATGAAGTCGCATGCTGGAACGAGGGTGGTGCGCCACTCTGGCATCAGGAATAATGCTATAACAGCATATATTGCATGTGAGTTCCATCTTGCTTGGTTTACATTTAGGAGTTTCTTCCAGTTTATTTGAGGTCAGCATGAAGTTGTTTTGTAATGACGATACGCTTGACATAGTTCATATAAGAACTTGAAATAATCTTGCCATGCAGGGTTTTTGCCTGTGTTAACATCATCTGTCGCATATAGGTGGTAATCATCCTGAAGAGAAACATAATTCTCTGTTAATTTATTAATGAAGAAATAATTGAGTTCTGGTTTGCTCGTTGGCTCTTGAATAAAAAAATTCATGACATGTTTCAGAAGGAGGTCGAGAACATTGTGCTGACAGCCAATATATTGTGGTTTCTGAAAGCCCTTGCTCAAAACATCATCTTGTATTAGCTTTACAATCCCATGCAGACGACCAGTATTTACTGCAGTCGTGTTACAGATTATCATGCAAATATTTTCCCAAGCATTGTATTCATCAATTAGCTGATGTAGTTCATTGTGAATGGCCGCAGCAGAACCACTCTCACATTTAAGAATACCGAGTTTGATTTCGGAAGTCATATTTTTCAGCAGAACTACTTGGTATTCTTCCCCATGCACTTTTTTACCATCAAACTGGAGACAATATGGATTTTTGCCCTTAAGTTTTTGAGCAATTTTGGTTTTCATTTTCTGTCCTTCAGAGATTACTCTTTTCCAGACACCCGCTTGACTTGAAACCGGCACATCGTGGCCTTGTTTAGCAATGGTTGCAAGAACGTCATGTGCTTTTTGTGTAGAAATGTTGTTTTTCAATACTAGTAAACCAGCTGCTGTAGTGCAGGCTCTTTGGTATTTTAGTTTGCATTCAGGAGATGATGTAGAAGAAGAGGTTTGCGAATCGGGTGAGAAAATAGAAGTTTCAGAATCCGAAGAATCTGAGACAGTTTTATGTGTTTGTGTGGGATGCAATTGAGAAGAGCTGGCTTGGGATTGAGTTTTTGATAGTCAGATTCATTTTCTTGGGTGGATTGATTCCAGAGGAGCTTGTTTGACCATTGAATAACCAATCTTTCTTCCACTCTCAACTTGCCTCTGGTAGAGCTTTTTATCTTCCCTGTTTTTCCATTCTCCATTAACGTTGGTGACATCAAATAACTGAGAAAGTGTTGCAGTGAATTTATCAGATGGTTTCTTTTTGTTTTTGTTAAATAAATCAATCAGACTGTTGAGCTTGTTTCTTATGAGTGCGCTGGATAACAGTGAAAAATCTAGAATTTCCTCCCAAAGCTCTTTTATATCTGTAATCATAATCTTGATTCGAATTAGTCGTCGTTTCTTGCTACTGAACAAAAAAGTGAAGTTTCCAAGAATTTGGCGGTTTGTCGGCATCCGCGTGAGATTGGTTAGTTTTTCAACAAATGGAATCTTTGGATTTCTTTTATTTTTGGAAGAATAGGGTAGATTTTTTATCCAGATACACCTGTTTGATTCTATACTATTTCTGGAATATCTAAAAGACATTTTATTGAAGTGACAAAATGTCTTTTCTGGATGACTTGCAATCTTGCACTGAAAACGAGGTAATTAATCTACAATATTCCAAAATGTTATAAAATACTCCAGAATATATATTTTTTATGTTTGCACCTGAAACAGATAATAAAATATATCAATAATAAAATAATTATTTTTACTAAACTTGCCCCATGTTGGAGCGAGTTTCTTCTGTTTAAGCTGGGATCAATAAAAATAAAAAAGTTAACTACCATCTGTAAATGTTTTTTTCTTATAAACAAATAGAAACAGACAGTTGACAGAAATGTGCTTAAAAGCAGCCTAGAACATTCCATAAAAAGTCAGTGTGAAATTTAAATTGTTAAACAAATGAGGTATTTTAATGAGCTGGAGAACTTTTTAAAAACGTTACGTGATGGATAAATATAATTAATCAATTAATAACGGAATAATGGCTTTGTTTTTTGTTTTTTTTTGAGAGCATAGATATAATATATACAGATCAGTGATTGAGAAGTTATAGTTATGTAAACAAATAGGCTCAAAGTAATCGAAAAGCATCTCTTATCCATCACATGATCGTTGATCATTATCATGGTATTGTTTATTCATGAAAATACCTCATTGAGCGATAAAGAAAAAATAAAAATTGAAAGGTGGGGGAACTTTTTTCAATTAAAAAAAAAATTAACGTTGCTACTGTCATTTGCATATAATTGTTCCTCGAATGTGATAGGTTTCAGTTTCATTAAAAAAAAATGAAAATAGTTATTACCCTAATATATATATATATATATATATATATATATATATATATATATATATATATTATATATATATATATATATATATATATATATATATATATATATATATATATATATATATATATATATATGCTGTAGTAGATATATATATTTTAAAGGCATTTTTATTTTATATATGTTTTAATATATATTTTAAAGGCATATGTATATTTATTTTTATTATAACATTTCATAGTTGATTCCAATTTATATAATTTTTTTTTCAAGAGAAATGGAGAAGAAGCAGCAGTCATAATGAATAATGTAGAAGTAGATTTTATATCAAAACTTCTGCAGGTTGATGTGGTAAGTTTTTCAATTAGTTTTTTTTTTTTCATTTTCATAGTTATTGTTACTTAAGCTTTAGCTTTTTAAAGATTCAATCATTTTGCTAATAATAAAAAGAGGACAATAAAAAAAATGGGCAATAAAAAAATTAAAGAAATCTCTAGAGCATTAAAAAGTTGGAACCATAGATTCCATTTTCATCCAGCAGGCAGGAAAATAAAATTCAGTCAAGCACTTATTAAATAGTTTTGAGAGAATTGAAGAGAGTTACGGAGAAAACGTGATCTGCAGCCCGAGCTGTAGAGGAGTTATCGTAAGAAATAGTTTTAATAACAAAAGCATTGGAGGAGGGGGGGGGGGCATGGATTTATAACATTGAATTAACACATTTTTTTTAATGACTAGATAAGAGTGGTCATTAGATACAAGAGATGAATTAAAGGTGAAAGTACTGAGTAATGTTCTGCCTTACTTTCGAAAGAGATAAGAAGATCAGACCCATGTATGAGAGTTGAAGAGTTGAACTTGTTTTTGTTAATGAAATCATTAAAGATCCTTCAAATGTCTCTAAAACCTAGTTTCTAAAATAAATTACTTGATTTAGTAGCTTGAAAACAATTGACCTTAGCAAACTTGTATATTAATTTAAGTAGCTTGGAAAAAAAACTTTTTTTCAGTCAATTTGTTTTTAATCAAATTAATCAAAAACAATTGGACCGAAACACGTCTGATCAAACTGACATATAGTGAATATTATGTTAGTTAATGTAAAACAGTATAAATTGAAATTAAAAAAAAATATATAAATAAATGCATAATTTAAATAAAAGTAAACTCTTACTACCACTGTGTAACAATACAGATTTGTATGTGTGTATTTTTGTAAAGTTGGGTTACAAAAGGTTGGGTAAAAAAGACAACAACTAAGAATCATTATAAAAATTATTTTTTTGACATAAATGTAATAATCAAATAACGGTGAGATCTGTTGCAAGGACACACCCCTGACCAGTGGCGTTAGTACAGGTCTCAGGCTCTTCAAAACGTCATTGGTGGGGGATCACCATTAATCTACAACTTAATTCTAATTGGTTATAATGGCATCAACATTTTTTTACCTCTTGTACCCATATATTGTTATGCTTTGAAAGCTTTTTATTATATATTTGTTTTATTCACAATCTTTCAATATTTACAATAGCAATAATCAATCATAACAACAGGCATCATATGAAAGTAAACTAAGTGCAGTTTGTAATCATTAAAAAATTAAAAATAAAAAAAATCTTTAAATTTTTAAAAATTTAAAAATTTACTATTTTTATTTAACATTATTATATGGTATGTTGGATATCTGGAAATATACCATATAATAATTAAAATTATTACTTGGTATATTAAAAGTAAAAAAGGATAGTATCACAATTTAACGCTACAATAGTAATAATGATTGGTACTAAATATTAAATAAAACCACTCTACAGTATATTTTCTTATATTTAAACTAAATGGATACAATCCATATATAAATGGATTCAATCCATGTGTAATTGAGTATAATACTTATATTGAATTTAAACAAATAAAAATATACAAACTGCAAGCTCTATAACAAACTGCAACTAAAAATCAACAAAAAAAAACATATTTTAAAAGCATTAAATAACTTCTAAGATAAATACAAACTTTAAATATAGATGCAAACCTTCATTAGTTTCAAAGGCTTCAATGGCTTCAATCATTATTTCATATCAAGATTAAAAAATAAATAATGAAAATCAATTCTGAAACACAACTAATAAAAATACAAAATTAAAACTTAAAAGTTTAAAATTGAAGCTAAAAAATAGAAAATCTTTTAAGGTTTAACAGAGCAAACAGATAAAAAAAAAAAAAAAATTTTAATAAAAAATAATACCTACTCAAATAATTAAAAAAGATTATAAATAATCAAACAGTTGACCTATTGTATGACTTGAATCTGTGCTTAAAGAAAATAATGTGATATTTAAAAGCATATTTAGTTCAGAAAAAGCATTGAATGTCGAACATTAAACATTATCTTTACAAATTAAATTATGTCATAAAGTTAAATAATAATTTGTGTGCTAATATTTTGAGGCAACCATTATTTTTAATAATCATTTTTATTTTTAAGAAAAAATATATATAATAAGGATGTTATATGTATGTTATATTGATATATATATATAATATAATCTTAGTTAATATTTTACTTTAATTCATTTCTCTATTTTGCCTAGGTAGGCGTTGCAAAGTCTCTTACACAAAAAATTACAGTATGTATTATTACTTTATAAGTATTAAATATAAAAAGTATGTATGCAACGAATTATTAAATTTAATGTTGTTAGGTAAATAATATTTTAAAGTTATTCAATTCCTTTATTATTAATTTTTGTTTTTATTATAAGTATATTATATTTGTATTTAAACAAAAATTCTTTAAATTTTGGTTTTACGATTACTTTTATTATTTACATATTTTTTTGTTTTACTTTATTTACTTATTTAATTATTAGCTCAAATTTTTTATAAGCTTTATTTTATATAGAATGCTGGAGGAGAACATTTTCGCTTACCATTTAATGTTGAAGAAGCTCTAGATGCACGAGACGCACTTGCACATGCATTGTATTCTCGTTTGTTTACATGGATAGTATCTCGTATTAATACTACATGTACAGTGAAAAACGAAAGCATAGATCATTTGAAAATTTCTCTGCTTGATATTTTCGGTTTTGAGGTAAATTTTGATATATATATATATATATATATATATATATATATATATATATATATATATATATATATATATATATATAATATATATATATATATATATATAATATATATATATATATATATATATATATATATATATATATATATATATATATATATATATATATATGTATATATATATATATGTAAATATATATATGTAAATATAAATATGTATATACATATATAAATAAGTATATATATATAATATATATATATATATATATATATATATATATATATATATATATATATATATATATATATATGTAAATATAGGAATTGTTAAATGCAATGATAGTTGTTGCAAAATTTGTCAATTTTACCTGCAAGAGGTAAAAAATTTTGAAACATCTAATGGTACTATCTGGACCATTAAAAGTCATGTTACTTGTAACAGCAAGAACGTAATTTATTATTTAAAATGTTTATCGTGTAATGGCCAAGCAACATATACTGGAAAAACAAACAATTTGAGTTTGCATAATGGTCATATATCAAGTTGCAGAACCGGCCATTCAACTGACAGATTTGACAACCATGTGTATAGTTACCAACGTATAAATAATAAATAAACAGAACCGATTTTCCAACTTTTTGTTTTTCTAGAACTTAAAAGTGATAAAAGTTTATTGTCGTATGAAAGTCATTTGTATAAACAAAAACATGATACTTTTAACTAACACTTCCTGTTTTAAAAGACATTAGCAATGGTAACTAATAGCAACAATACCTTAATTGATTAAAAATTAAACTTTTTCACATAAAATTTTTTTTTTTTGCATAACAGCACTTAAACTAGCACTACTGATGAAACATTGAAAAGCCTCTAGTGTTAAATATACTTTGTAGTATTTTGTTAAATATCTTTTTAGAAATATAAAAACTTTTTTTGAAGTTGTTATTTTGCTTGACATACATTTTTCATTTGATTGGTTAAATTATATTAATAGTTATATATATATATATATATATATATATATATATATATATATATATATATATATATATATTATATATATTATATATATATATATATATATATATATATATATATATATAGTATATATATTACTGTTACCCGCAGTATCAGGAATTAGCTAAATGCTAATATTTATAGTATTATGTTGCGACTTAAAGTTTCATGTGTTACCACAATCATCAGGCAAGTAGTCAAAAGTTAATTTTGCTACCTAAAGCAAAGCAGGTAAAGGTAGCAAAATTAACTTTTGACTACTTGCCTGATGATTGTGGTAACACATGAAACTTTAAGTCGCAATATAATACTATAAATATTAGCATTTAGCTAATTCCTGATACTGCGGGTAACAGTAATATATATACTATATAGCTCTAGTTTATCTATTGAGCACTCTTTAAAATATACATTATTATACATGATAATATAAAGAAATCATCTTTAATATTTACATATATACACCCACGTATATATATATATATATATATATATATATATATATATATATATTATATATATATATATATATATATATATATATATATATTAATTTATAAAAATAAAGAAAACAACTTTTTTTGGTACTAATAGTTTCATGCCTAAAGGCAATCATCAGCCATGTAATACAAAACAAGAAACAAAAAAAAACCGTTAAAATATAAAGTTACAGTGGAATGTGCTCCGTCGTCAAAACAAAACAAAAACAAAAACCTAAAAACGGCTGCCTAATCACCCGTATCGAAATTCGAAAGGAGGAACTTGCTTTTATGTCTACATTTAGATACTAATTCATTCCTCTTATTTAATAAGTTATCATAGGTGTACGATATTATGAAATACTTTTCGTATAGACATAAGTTGCATCGTTTTATTGTGGGATTGTAAGATCTACAACGTTTTAAAATTTTCCATTTAATTGTCGGGTTTACTCCATTTTCCTTTAACTTAGACAACTCAGTATCGTTTTTATATTTTTCGATCTTAAAAGATTTTGTATGATTAGCGTATCTAAGTTTAAAAGCAGTTTCACTTACTCCAAAATACACTTTTTCAATCCCGTCTGGAGTGCCTGGATATAGAGTGGCTTGATACACTATGTTATTAACGAGACACTGTTGATTTAAAGGGCACTTGCTTTTAGTAATACAATTGCAACTTTTATCTGATTCTGGGGGGATGCTTTTCATAATATGACGGTTATGAAAGTTAACGATTGATTTGATGTTTGGCATACAACTGTAACTCACCTTTAGAGTATTTCTATTAAAAATCTTGTGGTATTTATGTCCAACTGGAAAGTGCTTGTCAATTAAATCCAAAAAGATTTTACCAATTTTAGTAGAAACATTTTTACTATATGGGGGGTTAAACCAGATAATATTGCGCTTACGGTTTTTTGGTAGAGGTTGAATGAGTTTCGGAATATAATTAAGTTTAAATTTGTAACCAAACTTTTTTAATGCATCCTGATACAAATAAGCAGAGCTTCGAAAGCTAGTGTCATTAGATGAATTAGCTGTCAACCTTAATTCTATAGAACGAGGAAGTTGCTTTATTATGCTAGAGGGTGATTGGAATCAACATGTATATAATTTAGTTCATTGATTGGTTTACAAAATGGTCTAAAAGATTGATCATTGAGATTAAGTGTTACATCAAGGAAGTTCACAACTTTCATGTTACATTGTATGGAGATAGAAAGATTGTTATTTTTAAAAATTTGAATAATATGTTTTTTTATCGTGTCCATAAGGTGGCCACTAGCATTTTTAAAAACCGCTAAACCATCATCTCGGTATAAGCCAAAATCTGTCTTGTTATAATGCTGTGATAGCTGAAAAAGAAAAACTCCGACAAGCTCACATACTTCTGCGCCGTCAAAAGCACCCATTGCAACATCAAACAAACCACTGTTCTTTTTAATCCAAGGTTGCTCATTATTAAACAACAACGATTTTCGAGCTTGTTTAATTATAAGTTTGTCTTCGTTTTTAATGGTTACAAAATTCTCAGCAAATTTAATGGCATCATTCAAAAGACTTTCATTGATAGAAGGATAAAAATCAACAATGTCAAAAATTAAAAATTTATAAAAATGCTTGTTTTTAATACCTTTGAACCAATCTAAAACGTTTTGCGTGCTTTTCCATTGATTAAGAGAGAGTATTTTTCAGCTCAGCAATAACGTTGGATAAAATAAATTTACTGATCCTTCCAATTTCATTTTTTGCTGGATTCAAAAGGCGGACTGTAGGTTTGTTTAAAAAATTGTCTTTATGATCTTTTAAAGTGATTAAGAGTTTTTTTGTATTTTATTGCAAATACAAAATATCATACAATATATATATATATATATATATATATATATATATATATATATATATATATATATATACAAAAAAAATGATTTTTCCTATTTCACGGATTGCGGCAACTTTTTGGTGATTGAGATAAATAACTTGCAAACATGGAGCAAACTTTAAACTTGGGTATGTTTATACTTATATATCAAATTAGAATGCTTCAAAAAAAATTGGAGTAATTGGAACCTGGGAACTACAAAAACCCCAAAACTTTTGCCCCCCAGTCCCAAAAATGGTAAAACATTAAATATATTATATTATTAAATAAAATTAGAGCCGTCCCTAGGGAGGGGCGTAAAGGGTGTCTAGCCCCCCTACGAAGTTTATTTGTTGGCAAATTAGATACTGGAATCGATAAAATGGGATCTATAGTTGGCAGTCGGCAAATGTCAGAAAACGATGACCTTTTTTTTTTTTTAGAGATAAATTAGTCGTCCAAAAAAGTCAGCAAAAAATAGATATGTCACTCCCCCATAAAAATATCTACGGAATGGCCCTGAATGAAATTTGAAATCTGTTGATGAATATAAATTTAGTTTAGCATAACAATACCATTAAACTCGGTAACTTATTGCCCTCAAATTTGGGGCTAGGAAAACACATTTTGAGATTTTGGTAGCTCCTAAGCTCCAATCACTGAGATTTTCTCAATCACCAAAAAAAGTTTTGATACTACTGCTTCCATCATTGGAAAGTTATAACAAGAATGGCGTATAAGCTGGGACGGCTACTACTTTTCCTTGCCTGAATATGCCATATTTTGAAAAGACATATTACCCACTTTGATATGATATATTCAGGTAGTAAAATGTCTGGTCCAGAGAACCAGCTCTTTAAACACCTAAAATCTGTTAGGAATGATCTTGAAAAAGACACAGTTTCATTAATGAGGATTCAAACTTAAACAGAAACTTGGATGAATAAACAACATCTTGAGGCTGAACATTTCTATAGAGATGTTATAGATAATAGGTTCCTGGTTTATTGCATTATGCTAGATGCATGGCAAAAGTGTTGTATTACCTTAAAATGTATTTACTATTGGAAACCATTTCAAATTTTTCAGAAGAAAATATAGAAGAGATTCATGAAATCGCTATGTTTGTCTGCATCTTTTACTCAGTGGCTTCTTAGAGCAGTATTGCCAACTGCTGTCCCATATCAGGTTAAAAATAATAATTATAAATAAAAAAACAACGTAAAAAATAATTAGTTCATTGTTTGATTGATGACTTAATCTGATATTGTTAAAATATGGCATAGGATATGAAAGCTCTGTTGCAGATGATGAGGTTCATGGATATAATTCTGTTTGAAAAACTTGTAAAACTAAGAATAGTGGACCTTAGCACCAAACAACACTTTTTTGCATTGATTTCTTGCAATAGTAAGAAGACATTTTTTTAAAGGAAGTTCTTGTAAAAAAGATGACAAAAATGATAGAAAGATGTAGGATGTATTCTTGTAAAAAATCTTAAAAGATGTATTCTTGTAAAAAAGATGATAAAAATGATAGAAAGATGAAATAATTACCATTGAAAATAGAAGCTGCACAAGAAGGTAAAAACCATAGGAAGAAATGAGGCTCGACAAACAATAAGCAATAAAAGTTTCTGTGTTTGCCTCAATTCAGGAGATTAGACAAGAAGTGTAATTATCAGCAGAGAGAACCCAAAAACCATTGCTAAGAAAACCTTTAAAAAACACCCAGTCAGATTTAATGATACGGTGAAAAAGGGTTTGTGATCAAAAATATATTTCAAAATGTATAAGTGTATGTGCATCAAATCAAATCAATATCAAAATGTATGCGCAGACTAAGCATGCAACTATTGAAGTCTTTGTGAATCAAATGAAAATACTCATAAATTTAAAAACACTACATAAAATAAAAATATTTTTAATTTCAAAATAAAAGGAAGTATTCAAGAAACAATATTTACACTGATTAAATATAACTTTAAAAAACTAAATTAAAACTCAACATTTGCACAGTGGCAAGGTTAGTAACTAGATATTGCACAAAACTTTCAAAAAGTGACCATGTTGCTGTTAGCAAAAAAGAATCACTGAATTTTATGAATTGCAACTTCATTTTAAACCAGAAATTAATAATAAACTTTTATTCCTCATATGAAAAAAATTCCTATTTAAAAATTCATATTTCATTATATATATATATATATATATATATATATATATATATATATATATATATATATATATATATATATATATATATATATATATATATATATATATATATATATATATATATATATATATATATATATATATATATATATATATATATATATATATATATATATATATATATATATATATATTATATATATATTATATATATTAATATATATTATATATATATAATATATATATATATATATATATATATATATATATATATATATATATATATATATATATTATATATATATATATATGAGTGTGAGAGGGGAGAAAAGCTCTCCTAACATAAACATGGCGAGCCATGAGAGCTGCTCCCCTAAACTGCTTTTTTTTGGGAGCTTTCAGTTTTTGTACAAGCTATCTGTTTATTTATTAAATAAATTGATTATTAAATACAAAATTTGATTTTACTCTAGTAACAAGCATATATTTGTAACATTAATGTTAAAAAAATACATACATAACAAGCCTTGCTTGGTGTGCTGTGAAAAAATTTTTTAGTAAGTGTTTTCTTTGGGTTTTCACACTAGCTATCCACTAGTCATTCACACTTCCATTTGTTTCTCAAAAATTTACTTATTTGATAAATATTTTTTTAAAAACAGAGTTATACAAGTTTTTACTGCTTATAAAAAATATTTTATATTTATTACTGTAATAGAAGGTAGGTGGTTTAAGAATTATTACAACAATTATTACAGCAATTGAAATTAAATTTTTTTCATATGAGGAATAAAAATTTATTAATAATTTCTGGTTTAAAATGAAGTTGCAAGTCATAATAGTCAGTGATTCTTTTTTGCTAATGACAACATTGTCAAGATTCTACAATAAATTTTTCAAAATATAAATTGCACTTGCACTTGCAGACAACCTTCAACCATTGTCACATAATTCTACTGTTGCTTCTCTTTCTCTTTCTATAAATACTATATTGGGCACTGCTCTAAAGAGTTAGCGTCTCTTGTTCCATCTACTAAAATTCATTCTTGTAGAACTCGTCATTTAATTAAGTCTTTTTATGTAATTTTCGTCTTGTAATGTGATTGTTTCTAAGTGCTTCAAAACTTCTTATTCGTCTATTTTTTTTTCCTTGAGCATTAGTTATTTAGAATTCACCTTCATATTGTTTTCCTGATTTATTTATTTTGCAATCTTTTAAGTCATCTGTTTGCAAGTTTCGACTTTTGAGAACTTTTTATTTAGCATTCATTCATCCACTTCTTAAATTTGTAGTTCTGGTTTGGTTTATTTATATGATATATTAAAATAGAAAAAAACACAGAGCAACTAAACTTGTTTCATCTATCAGCAGTCTTAAATATATAAATTGACTCATTGCCTTAGACTTGATAAATCTAGCTGAGAGAAGAAAAAGGGGAGATTTAAAAAAGATTTAAAAGAATTATACAAACTAATGCACTGTATAAACAAGTAAACAGTTATTTTCCACTTGTTAAAAACTGTTTAAGGCAGCATCATTTTAAATACCATAAAGAATTTGCTAAACATCAACTGAGAGAATATTTCCCTTTCAACATAATTGCAAATGCATGGAATCAACTTCTAATTGAAGTTGTAACAGCAAAATTTGTTTATTGTTTTAAAGGAGCTCTGGATTGCTGGCTGAGTAGCAGTCAAGCATAACTTCTGTCATAGTGTTTGCAACAACACACTCACTGGATTAGTCTAGTGAGTGTGTTATTGCAATATACATTCAACTTTTTACTGTTTCTAAAAATGGAAACAGTAAAAGATGGAGACCTATTAAAAAACAGAGGTTTGTTGTTGTTGCATAGGCTTTTTATTTTGATGGTTTTTTTTATTGAAAAAATAATAAGTTTGCAATGTTGCTTGGTTATTAGATTATTAACTCCCCTTTATTTCTACTTTATTAATTCTTTGTTAGCTATGTGGTGTTTAAACAAATTTTTTGAGAAGAATCTATTTAAAATTTTTTTTTAGGCATATCGTATTAATGGTTTTGAACAGTTTTGTATAAACTTAGCAAATGAGTATATTCATCAGCATTTTATTCGTCATGTATTTATCGATGAACAGGTTTGTTTTTCTGTATTTATGTTAAATGGATTTAAAGAGATCTGATAGAAATTATTTTAAATATGAATCTATTATTGTTTTAGAAAAATTAAAACTTATTAAAAAAGTCTATAACTTTTCTATGTATGTATGTGTATAAGTATATATATATATATATATATATATATATATATATATATATATATATATATATATATATATATATATATATATATATATATATATATATATATATATATATATATATATGTATATATATATATATATACATATATATATACATATATATATATATATATATATATATATATATATATATATATATATATATATATATATATATATATATATATATATATATATATATATATATATATATATATATATATATATATATATATATATATATATATATATGTATATATATATATGTATATATATATATATATATATATATATATATATATATATATATATATATATATATATATATATATATATATACACATATAATTTTTGTCTTCAACAATTTGTTTCATCAGTAGTTTCATCAAGAAGAATGTTAGAAAAATATTTCATAGGAAGTTGGGAATTGTTATAGTTAATTATGTAATAACTGCAGTTTTTTTGCAACCAGGAAGTTGAATCAACTACATTAAAATTAAAAAAATAACCATGAAAAGAGTTCTTCAGAATTAGGATAGTTTTAGTCTGTCAATTGTTTTAATAGTTTTTTAAAACGTATTTATTTTCAAGTCTGCATTTAAAAATTAATTCAGATTTTTTTGTTTAGTAAATTTTCTTGATCCAAATGAGTGATTATTTCAAATTTTTCTTGCAAATATAATATACATTTTTTAGAAATGTTATTATAAGCTGGTGCAGTTTTTATTGTAGACCAGTTTAAATGTGAAATTACGATTTTTTTCTTTTAGTTAGTTAGTTAGTGGTAAACTGCGTGGATCTTATCCACACGCTGAGACGTTGTAACTTTCAGCTATTGCAGCCCAGTACTTTTTTTTTTTCTTTTTCTTTTAAATTAATATTTTCTTATTTTTCTTAAGCCATTCGTTTAAACTTGCTTTAAAATTATTCAAGTTCTCGGAATCTACAACTTTTTCCAGAAGTTTGTTCCAAATTTGGCAAACTCTGTTTGTGAAGAAATGGATTCTGGAGCTAACCGATGCATGAAAGTCATTTATTTTGCGAGGAGTAAAACACTGCATTCTAATTTTATGTTTGAGACCTCTAATGGAAGAACATGGGCCCTCTAATTTAATGCTTGACTTATTGACTGGTTTGACATTAAGATTGACAAATTCTAGATTGTTTAATATTTTATATAAATGAATAAGGTCTCCTCGTTTTCTTCTGAGATTTAAATTAATTAAATCCATTTTAATTAGCCATTTCTCATAACTTAGCATTCGGTTTGAGTATGGTATTTTTGTGGCCCTACGTTGAACTCTTTGAAGCATTGAGATTTCGGCCACATTCGGAGGACTCCACGCTGGAGCCGCAAATTCAAGATGAGGTCGCACATAAGTAGTATACAAAATTTTCCACATATAACAATCTCTACTTTCAAAGGCATTTTTCAATAACCCCATTATTTTTGAAGCTTTGTTAACACATACTTGCGTTTGATGCTTCCACCTCATATCCGGTTGTACAAAGACACCTAGATCTCTTTCTAATAGTTTCTAATAATATAATAGTTGTCAAATATATTTTGACAGCATAGTCTTTTTTAAATATTTTTTATGTTTAAAAGATTGTTTGTGGTTAGCATAACGTTTTTTTCCATTCGCTCTTGCTTAAGCCAATATATTGTTTGTCAGGGTTATTTTGTGAGGAAACCATGCATTTGTAAATTCTGATTTTTGATAAGCATTTGCCATTCATAGGACAGTCAATTTTTTGCTTGCAATTACATTTTTTAGTATTTTTTTCTTTAAGTAATTATTTTTTATTATTCAATGTAAAATTGTGGTCTTTTATAATTCTTTCAATATTTTTTGTACAACTATAGCTTACTTTAACAGTGTTTCTGTTAAAAATTTTGTGGAATTTATTAGAAGAGAGGAAATGTTTGTCTATTTATTTTAAAAACGACTTCCCAATATTTTTAAAAATATTTTTGTTGTATGGAGGGTTTAACCATATATATATATATATATATATATATATATATATATATATATATATATATATATATATATATATATATACATATATATATATATATATATATATATATATATATATATATATATATATATATATATATATATATATATATATATATATATATATATATATATATATATATATATATATATATATATATTTTAAATATACAAAAATGTATTTGATTAAAGATAGCTTAATATTTTACTTAAATAGTAAACAAGCTAATTAATCCAAAATCATCATTTGTTCCTTCAAAAAAGTTCTTTTTTGAATTATTTTATAATTTTTTAAAAATTTAAAAAATCTTAAAAATCAACTAACTTTTTGGAGACTTATGACTTTCTTACAAACTTATACTAAATCTAAGTCTAAGGATAATGGTTTTACTTTCTAAAACTAATTATTTACTTTGGTTTAACCAAATCATTTAAAATGTTTGCCCATGAAAAAATAATTTATAAATTAGGCAAATATGGGATAGATAACCAATTAATAAAATGGATTCATCATAGCATAACTAGTAGATAACAACTTGCAGGTAACGTACCTCAAGGCTTAGTGCTAGGACCCTTACTATCTGTCTTATACATTAATGATATGTTGGACAATTTAACATGTAACTGCAAACTGTTTGTTGAAAAAAAAGATAATATCTGTTGTTTCTATTGAAACAGACCATTTAATTTTACAACATGCTGTCAATAAAATATGGTAATGGTGTAAAACATGGTGTATGACTTTCAACAAGGAAAAATGTAATGTAATGTATGTTGGTCAAAATAACCAGAATTATAGCTATGAACTAAATAAACATAAAATGGAAACAACTGAAAATAAAAAAGATTTGGGTGTATTGTTCACTAAAGACATTAAATGGAAAGAACATATTGCAAATGTAACTTATAAAGCAAACCATTTTTTCGGATTAATAAGGAAAACTTTCAAAAGTTGTAATAAGAAAAAAATTGTAATAAAAATTGTAATGAGGCAAAATGGTAATAAGAATTGTATCTATCTTTAGTAAAACCTCATTTGAAATATGCAGTGCCTGTCTGATGTCTGTACTTAAAAGGTGGTGTTAAAGCTGTAGAAAGCCAAGAAAAACCAAGAAGAAGAAAAACCAAGAAGAAGAAAAACCAAGAAGAGTGACAAAAATTATTAAAGAGTTAAGAAGTTACAGCTATGAAGACCGGCTGAAAAGATTAGGAATTATGTCTTTAGAAACACAAAGAGCAAGGGGTGACTTAATCTTTCAATAAAAAATTCACAAGAGGTTCGAAGCTATCAATTGCATAAACTCTTTAAATAACAACCAACTGCAGTTAAGAAATCAGCATTCCATTACTAAGCAGCTTATAAAATCATGTTTGCCAAAATATACTTTTTTTACCAACATAATTGTAAACAGGCTATTATAATGTAACTTATATTGCACTCCGTAATTTTTTTAATATAAAACCATGGCTAAAAACCATTGATATGGTATTCATGGCTATAACTTTGTGTTACTATTATTATATATATATATTTTTTTTCTTACAAAATGCAAGTGTTTATTTTTTATGAAATATATATTTTTGTAAAATTTTTTGAAGTTTAACATCAATAGTTTACACTTGTGTGATTTGGATTGGTTTCCATAATAGCGCATTTGTATCTAAATATGACATTATGGAAGAATTGAATCAATTTTTTACTACTCAATGCCTTTCCTGACATTAACCTTATTTCCGGAATAGGACTAAGTATTTTTGTTGTAACACTAATACTGGGATTACCATCCAGGTTTTATGTACTTCTACTACTAATGTCATGACTAAAATGAATCTTTTATTAGATACAGTTTCAAATCTTAAAGGCTGTTTAAATGAAACCTCAGATACAAAAAATTTGGTATACCAATAGAATAAAATTATAACTCTTTTTTGGTAAATGGGTGTTCATGTGGTAGAGGGTTGGCTTCATAACCCAGGTGTACAAAGTTTGAATGCAACTGCCTCTTATTGTACCCCACATAACTTTTTCTGTGTGCGGTGGCTTTTTTTGTCAAAATTTATGTTTAGGAGTTATAGAGTTAAGAGAGAAAAACTATTAGAGAGAGAACAACTATTAATTGCCTAGAGAGAGAACAACTAAGAATTGCCTATTTGATTGAATAGGGCTTTTGAATAGATATTATGTTTCTTTTATCCAATAAACTGTCAGCTAAATTTTTATCATATCAAAAGTCTATTTGAAATTAAAGATTTTGCTGGTTTCTATATATATATATATATATATATATATATATATATATATATATATATATATATATAATATATATATATATATATATATATATATATATATATATATATATATATATATATATATATATATATTTGTAGGGGAGGTTGGGGGAATGGTGGCCCCTTAAGGTTTTTTGCCATTTTTAGGGTTGTATTATAATGATCCGAGCTGTAACTATGGTAGAAGAATTACTACAATGTATATTATAAAGTACTTTATTGGCAAACACGTACAAAAAATAATTAATGTGTGATTACAAGAAAAAAATTAAATAAAATGGCCAGTATTACCCCATAACTTTGGGGCAATTATGGCAGCCTGGTCAGCATTATCCCAACTCTTTTATTGAATACAAATAATGAAAACCAGATTAATAATTATTAAAAATAAGTTTTATAAGAATTTAAGATAATAAGTTTATGAGTTTAAGAATTAATAAAAATAAGTAGTACAATATTACTATTAAATACAATAGTCACAAATATAAATATCGTTTTATGGAGGAGATCTGTACAGTCTTTGTAGTCCCAGTCACCACATGCAGCACAGATTACCCACCGTTCTCGGTTTTTACCAAATTCCCCACCAAACAAACAAACATCTGAAGACTATTCTGTTTTCTAGCCATTTTATATGGCCATGATTGCCCCATATAAAATAGCTAGCTATCATAACCCCAAAATGAATCAATTTTTATTAACAAAAACAAAAACATATTTGAAAATAAGAAGATACTTACCCCAGAGGCCATCAATCCCCTGAACTCCCCTATATATATGTGAAATTATTTCTTACCTAATGATTAATTTCTTAATATGTTCATATACTTATGCAACTTTAAATATAAATTATATTTCTTTTATCCAATAAAGTGTCATTTTAAACTTTATCATACCTAGATCTATTTAAAGATAATAAATTTAACATACACAGATCTATTTTTTTTTTGCTTACTGCAGTTTATATATATGCCATATAATGTATATAAAATATCTAGTTTATGTATGTGCTCTGTACTATAATTTTTAAATATGCAATGCCATCCACAGTATTAGAATGCAAGTGAGTTTTTTATTTATGAAAGGAAAATTCAGATTATTAAAGATTTGGTTTAGTCAATGGATATAGGGTAGTATTAGGTATTTGTGGGTATATATAGGTTGTGGATTTTTAGGTGAGATGAACAGTTAATATTGGAGTGGAAAGATTGAGTTTTAGGATACTTTAAGATAATTGATTGTTATAAAAAATTATCTGACAGTGATGTTATGATTATCTTTGTTATTAAGTTTTAAAATAAATTAAGTTTAAGTATCTTTGTTATTACTTTGTAAAATAAATTAGGTTGTAAAATAAATTAAGTTGTAAAGTAAATTATGTAAATAATCTTTGTCTTATTTTTATTGTTGTAAATAACAAAAAAACACCATTTAATAATATCATTTGTTGATATTTAACTAATTTCCATATTTTTAGGAGGTTTATGATGAAGAGCGTCTTCGTATAAAACCCATTGACTTTCATGACAACTGTTTATGCTTGGAGTTAATTGTAAAACCACCGATTGGGATTATACATTTACTATCTGATGAAAGCACTATTTTCCAGGTATTTATATTTGTTGCTGATATTTGTTTTCATAAATAATAAATAAAAATTTTCTTGAATTTTTTTTCATTTTTGTTTTTTACTTTATATTACTAACTTTAAATGTCATGACATGACTTAGAGATGTTCTTAAGTTAAAGTGATTAAATACAACTCTCTCTCTCTCTCTCTCTCTCTCTCTCTCTCTCTCTCTCTCTCTTTCTCTCTGCTTATATATATATACATATATATATACATATATATATATATATATATATATATATATATATATATATATATATATATATATATATATATATATATATATATATATATATATGTATATGTATATATATATATATGTATATGTATAGATATATATATATATATATATATATACATATATATATATACATATATATATATATACATATATATATATATATATATATATATATATATATATATATATATATATATATATATGTATATATATATATATGTATATATATAAATATATATATCTATACATATACATATATATATATATATATATACATATACATATATATATATATATATATATATATATATATATATATATATATATATATATATATATATATATATATATATATATATATATATGTACATATATATATGTATATATATATATATATATATATATATATATATATATATATATATATATATATATATATATATATATATATATACATATACATATACATATACATGTATATATATTATGTACATATATGTATGTTTATATATATATATATATATATATATATATGTATCTATTAACCCTCAAAATTAAGGTATTTATAAAAAAAATTAAGGTATTTATTAATAAAAGTGTTTGAGGTCGACAAAAATTTCCGAACTTATTTTTATGCTTTATGGTAACGCCTTTGTGTCAAGTTTTTTTTTGCCGACCTCTAACAGTTTGAGGTTGGCAATTTATTTCCGACCTCATTTTTCCTAATTCCGAGGGTTATACATATATACATATGAGGTATATACATATATACACATGTATATATATATATATTATGTACATATTTGTACATATATACATATATGTATATATATACATATATGTATGTATGTATGTATGTATGTATGTATGTATATATATATATATATATATATATATATATATATATATATATATATATATATATATATATATATATATATATATATATATATATATGTATATATATATATATACATATATATATTATAAATATTATATTAAGTATAATTGTTATAATAAAAAATATTTGAAAAAACTATAAGCTGGTTAAATAAATAAAATAATTTGGTTTAAAAATACATAATTTTTAAAATAAGTTAAACATAATATATTATGAGTATTCAATGTTTGCACTACTAATTAATATAAAATGACTAGTTATAAAAATGCAGTATTTTAATTTTGAAAAAAAAACAACAACAACAACAACAGAATAATTTGTATTAATGTACTCTTTAAAAAAGAATAAAAAACGAACATACACAACACAACAAGTTTATAAAAATTTATTTAATTTAAAAAATGGGGCAAAATAATCCAAAAAATATGAAATATGTAAATATTAATTAAAACTTTTTTTTTCTGTTTAAAAAAATAATTTTGTAATCTATACTATATTGATAATTTTTTATTATGTATTAACATTATCTTAATTATTTGATATATTTTTATTATTTTAAGTAAACTTAATAAAATAAGTAAATTTTAAGTTGGGTGGTTCTAAATCTGTAAATTTTAAGATATAAGTCTGTAAGTTGTAAGTCTGTAAACTGTAAGATGTAAGTTTTTAAGTTGTAACTCTGTAAGTTGTAGGCTGTAGTTTATACTCTTCAAGTTGTAATTAAACCTGTAAGATGTTTTACATATTTATAAATATACAATTTCAGAAACTGCATGTAAAAACTTTTTGAGGATAATGCATAAATGCAGCCTATTCTATAAGTCATTAATCATTTGATTGCTTACATCTTGTTACATATATTCAAAGGTGATTTTAAGGGAGAGGGGTAGGGGTAGTTTTGCCACCCTCCCTCAAAGCAAGATGGTTTTTAAGTTATAGTCGCTTTTTGTACAAATTTAGTTGTCTAGTTGGGTATTTGACCTTTTATTAAAATACCCAACTAGCTCAAGATTTTTTTTTTTTTTTTGTGTAAGCCAGTTGATACTTTTTAAGTTTTTACACCCCCTCCTCCCTCATTTTATTTGAAGAATTGCCTCTGCTTATATTATCTGTTGTAGTTAATTAATATTATCTTAAATAAAAATTGTTTTGATAGTTAATATTCTAGATGATGTATATTTATACATAATTGCATATAATTTATATATAAAGAACTGCATCTGTCTTAATAAAAACTTGCCCTTTACTCAATAACAGCTTGAACAACAACATTGTTTATCAAGAAACTATCACTTCAGTGACATTTGCTTGGTACAATGTTGTATATGTACAATGGCAATATTTTCATTGATATAAGTAAAATATACTTTAAACTCAGAAATGCATACCATTTAAATTTATCCAACATTACTAAATTTGAAAGGGATAAATAAAAAAGTAAAATTATATAAAAAAATCAGTAATCAAATTAATTCCTCCTTTCTCAATTTGACTCAAGTTAAAATTAGACTTTGACTTTGTCGTAGTTGGTTTTTGATGTCAGATCTCATTGTGTTGTTATATTTGTATTTTTGGGAATTTTTTAGTTTCTTGATTTGAAAATATATTTCTGATAATTGCCATCAAACATAAAAAACTGAGTACCACTGAAAATAATTTTTGTTTCTTTAACAGTGATCAATATTATGTTACATTGATCACTGTTATATGAAAACAGTTTTTATGTGTACAGGTCCACAAATTATTTTTTTAATTTTTTTAAAAAATAGTAATGGGTGAATTATGTATTTTGGTATGCTAAATTTGAAAATGCCATTCATTTCGACCCATCACGTTAGGATTTTCAGTGGAATGTTAAATATAGGCAAAACCTGTCTTACACTACTTCTGAAAGGAAAGTTCAAAAGAAAAAAAAAAATAAAACTATACAAATTTTATTCATTTTAGATCATAAAACATTTTATTTTAAATTATAAACAATTATAAATGTTTATAAAATCTGGTTTCAAATTTCAGTTTCGAAGCCTTGTTTTGGGCTTTTTCTTTTGTGTGACGTTATACTATCAATATGTAGCATCTAGCAGTTGCCCATCATATTTGTATCCCATCGACCTTGATACCTTCTCTTGATATCTTGGTGAAACTTCTCACCTTGCTCTTCACTAATTGCACCAAGATTTTTTGGAAAGTGATCTGGGATCACTTTCCAAAAAATTTAAAAATCTGGGATGTTCAACTCCATTTTTTAATGGAGTTGAACATCCCAGATTTTTAAAGTTGCACAACATATTTTTTATGATACTTTTAAACTCCGGTCCATCTTATTCCCTAGAAACTTTGTAACTACATCTTTAAAAAAATTCCATGCTGACATTTTAATATTGTTTATCACATTTTTGAAGTTGTTACCTTTCATCAGCTTACAATTGTCAGAACCAACAATAACATCCTCCTTCAGCTTTGCTTCAGACAGACAATAAAACTTGCTTGAAAGGTATTTAAATGTCTTGCTATATTTTAGCAATATCTTCACCAACTGCTTAATCATGCCAAGTTTGATATGGAACAGTGGTAGAAAGACCTTTTTAGGATCAACCAAAGATTCAAAGTGCACGTTTTTCTCTTTGACCTTCAATGTTCCTATGGGTCACACTTTCTGGATCCAGTGTTTAGCTTTAGTACGTCTATCCCATTTACAAAAAAATAGGGAAATTTTGTGTAACCATCTTGCTGTCCAATTATCATAGAAATTACTTTAAGATCCCCACAAACTGTCCACTCGAATTCCTTGTACTTTAAGTTAATGCCAAGTTACCATAATTTTCCTTCAAATGCACTGAATGACCAATGGGCATTGATGTATACTAATTCCTGTTGTGAAGTAAAACAGTTTTTAAAACTTCTCTTCAAAGAATCAATAAAAAGTCTCAGTTTTTTAGCTATATGTTGGACTTTGAACGTTCAACGTTAAACCATTAATATTGGAACAATAGACTAGCTCACCATCCTGAGAAAATTAAGGCTCAAAATGTTTTTATCTATTTCTATACCAAGCAAAAGAAGTTCAAGGTGTCAATAAATTCTTCTCTTACAGTCTGGATCCGAGTAACTCAGATCTAGGCTGTAAGAGAAGAATTTATGTCCTAGATCCGCAGATTGTTTTAGGAGTTCTAAATCTTAGAACAGGTCATTTAATACAGCTTGAGAAATTTGTTAAGGTCCACTGGAGTTGCCTGCTTTAAACTTGTTAATAGAACTTTCTTCTAATTCACTTTCTGACAATGGCAAATTGTCTAGACTTTGGGGTGCTTGTGGAAACGGAATGCTAGGTCTGTGAGAAACTGGGCAGAGTGGTGAATCCATGTTTGGGTAATGAATTTGTTTTTTATTTTTAGTACTATACCCTTGCACATTGCACAAATAAAAGTCATTGTTTGCAAAAGTAGCAGTCAGTGGTTTCGAGGCTCTCTCCAGATATATATTTATATTGGGATTTTCCATACTTACTACGGAAAATCTTGATATACATTGTTCAATTCTGATTAATTTTACTGTCATGAGTTACTAAAAATTTTGTTTCAGCCTATAAAACATAGTATTATCTTATAATAAGTTGGAATTTAATAAAAAATATATATTTTGGCAATAAACCTCGTTTTGTGCCTTAAAATAGGCAATCCAATAGTATTTTGCATTTTGCAGAGAAACCTTGCATGATGGAGTTTTTTTGATAATTTTATTGAATTCAGCAACCAAAAATACATAGGAATTATATGTTTTTTATAGGAAAAAAAGAATTAAGATCTGTGTGTATGCAGACCTGTGTGTATAAAAAATACAATGTACTTTATATTTATGTATGTATATATATATATATATATATATATATACATATATATATATATATATATATATATATATATATATATATATATATATATATATATATATATATATATATACACACTTACAATTGAATAAAATTAAGGCTACAGATCGTTCTTTTCTTGATAAATGTCACCAATATCATGCACGCAATGAACATTATGTAAAACCTAAATACGGAACTCCAGAATTCGGGATTAATCATTATGCTGGTGTTGTGCATTACCAGGTATTAAATAAATTTCTTTTTTGTTAGCTATAAAAGTTTTGATTATTTATAAAAAAATATTTATTTCGCCAAATTAATTTGAGATTATCCATTATATTTGACATATTTAAAGAGAACTAATTTTTTTTTTTTTAATTTTGAAAGGTAGACATGTTTTTACAAAAGAATCGTGACTTTGTTCGTCCTGAATTTTTTGAACTTCTTATTTATAGTAGATCTATGGTAAGTTTTTGTTTCATTAATTATTTTTAAATTTTTGTTTTGTTTCAAGTTTTATTAACTTTAGAATATAAGCTTTGAATGCTTTGTCAAGAAATTTAAAAGATAGTTGTATAAAAAATAGTTTTTCAAAAAATAGTTGTATATTAGAGAAATGCTGGAAAATGTTTTTGTTTGTTGATAAATTTCAATTAGGATCTTTTAGAAAGATTCTATACAATAAAATAACAACATCGGCAACAACATTCTTAAAATTATAGACAATATTTTGAGGTTCTTCAAGCATTTTTGATATTATTATTATTTTAACTGTCAAATGTTTTGCAATATTGCAATTTGACAAAATTTTGTAAATCGTTTATTACCTTTTGAATATTAGATATTATTATTTGGAAACTTTCTTAAGTACAGATCACAAGATATAGTCTAGAGTTTAATAATTAAACAATTTCATTCAAATTTAGAAAGTCAATTGGAGTTTATTGCATCATATCTGTAGACTTTCAATTGTGTGTTTAATACCACATTCTGTAGGTATTGGAAAAATTTTCAATTTAATAATATTTAATAATATAATATAATAATAGATAAATTAGAAGACCATAAAAATAATAAATCTAATATTGAAGCAGGATTCATGTAAATATTTATGACAAATTTGTTTAACCTTTCTTGGAGTGAACTATCATATCATTGAAGAGATGCTCAATTTTCTGAGAATATATTGTCCTTGCCATTTAGTGAGCTCTATACAGAACACCAGGCTTTCAAAAGTTTGGTTAAAAATTTATTCCAAGCATTATACTAGACATAAATACAAACTTACAATAATCTTGGGGTATATTTTGGTTGAAATTTTCATAAATGAATTCTTTCACCTGAATATAAGTGGATATCAATGGAACAAGTTATTTTTTGGAGGTGTCATATTTTATATTAGGCCATATTTCACAAAATGGCGTTAAATTTCAGATATCTGGACCAGTGGATTGTCAAAGACATATACCAAAACTATCAGCCAAACAAACTTCAAGCATATGAAGCTAGCAAGTCAACCACAGCATATTCTGAACAAATCTATCTTATTCTCAAAAAATCTGCACCCTCTATTAATTTTATTGTAGTTTCCCAGAAGGCAGTTGTACCAAAACATGTTTGTAACATGTATATCAGACTACTAGAATTTAAATAATTCAAGTTCTGAATTAACTGATGTCTACTGCTTCCTGAATAACTTGTATAGATTCATCATTTTCATCAACCGCAGGAGCCTTGGTTGTCAAGGTTCCTGTTTCAAAGTTATAGAGTTGAGAGGTTGTAACCAAAACTAAAGTAGTCTCTTTCTCCTCGACTGTAGTGATCTTTATGGCCTTGGGTAGATAAAATAAAATTTTAAAAAAAATTTCATCATTTCATTGCAGTTTAATGGATGCTAATAGTTGTTCAATCCAAAAGTGCAGATAATTTCTCAGATACAATATCCATTTGTTTGAGTGGGTTTTTTAATTTTAAAAAATGCTGGCAATATCTTAAAATTAAAAACCCTCTCAAAACAATAGGGTATGGTTTGTTTTCTCATAAAATTGTTGTAACATTTTGTTTGCTCTTTGCATTGAAAGAAAAGAACAATAATACAATATGGGTTTCAGTCATTTGGTAGCAGGTTAAACTTTGTATAGCATTTTTACAGAGTTGTACTAACTAAAAAATGTAAAGATTGATGTGTTTTTTTAAACAAGGTCAAATGTCTAAAGTTAACATTTTTGATCAATTTTGGCATCAATCAACAGTTTATTAAATAGGTAAGCCCACCATATCCATTTATCGATAAAGCAAGTCCATAATATCAATTTATTTATAAAGTCTGTACTTAATCAGCTTTTTTACTGTTTTGTATACTTTATTTACCTTTCAATGGATTTTTCATTTTTTTGTTGTTAACAACCCTCTCTCATTTCTTAAACTCTAAAACATGAGCTTTGACCAACAAAGCAGCAGTGTAGAATAACAAGTAGTGGATTTAAAGTTGCACAATGGCTATCAAATAAGAATCTTTTAGCTTACAAATTATGCGCTCTACCACAACACTGCTACGATATATTTTACCAGATGTAATAAAAGATTAATACACAATTTTTAATACGTTTCAAACTCTTAAGATATCACAAGAACTTGAAGGTTGAGGTCAATCAGCTATTTGTCAAGATATATATACTTCACATAAAAATAAATGAAGAAAGAAAATAATAATGAAATAGTGATTAAAATTATAAATGTAAAAGAACAAACTCAAGAAAAAGACAAGAACAAACTCAAGAACAAGACAAAAACAAACTCAAGAAATATGAAAGAATAGTCATAAAAGTTGTTGTTTTTGTGGTTCTTTAAAAAACGATAAAATTTAATTTATTTCTGTAATTGGTTTAATGGTTTTAATTTTTAGGTGCCATTTAAAGGTTTTTGGTAGCAAAGTTATTATCATAAAAATATTATCATAATTATTATCGTAAAAGACTTTATATTTGCATGTAGATGTATTTATTATATATATATTTGTTAATATCTTTTAGTTTATTGCAAGCTTATTTCCTGAATTTCTTGATAATCGTGAAATTCATATGAGTCAACCGTTTGCAACTCTTGATTCTCATCATAGTTTTACAGTTTCTGAAAAAGGAAAAACAAATCGCTTGAGCTCAAATGTTATTTCTTCTTATAACGAATCATTACAAAATTTGCTTGAAAAAATATCAAAGTAAAATTTTATTGTTTTGTTAAAATTATTTTATTGTGATTAGGAAAGTTAGGTTTTTTTTTATTATTACTATTTTTCATTATCAACAATCTTCATTATCATAACTTTTTATTTTAAAAATTTCTTCACCAATCTTTTTTTATAAAGTTACTATATATATATTTTATAACTAGTTTGCCTCATATATAGGTCCTCATCATTTTTTGTTCAGTGCATTCGTCCAAACATCGACAAGGATAGTTGAACAGAGTAGCAATAAAGCTATTTTCTTTTTGTTTCTATTATTAAGTTAAATCAGAATTGACATTGCATGCGCATTGTTTTTAAATCATAGACATCCTCAATCTTTTAAATCTAAGTGAGGTTGTTTTTTTTTCACATCTCATTTCTGAATAATTTTTTTTTCGAGTGTGTGTCCATTATGTGAAATTTGAATTGAAATAATGCATTTCAGTTGTTTAAGAATTTTTCGGCTATTGAATATATACAGAAATTATAGAGTAAATAAAGAAAAAGTTCATTTTTTACTTATTTTTTTTTTAGTCTCCATTAAATTTTGATGATGTGCTAGTTATGTCTCAGATTCAATCATATGGTATTGTTGAGACGATTAAATGGAGACAGATTGGTTTTCCAATTCATATGTCTTATGCTAGTTTTGTTAAAAGGTTTGTTTTCTCTCCCTTGTTTTTACTGAGGAAAAAGATTTTGCAAATATATAAATAAGTTTGTTTATTTAGATATTTTGTACTCTGTGGAAAACCCAAAATAATTTTAAGAAACCCTCCGAAAGAAAATAGTAAAAAAATATGTGATCAAATTCTAAAGACTGCTCCAGAAAGATCTAATGAATATGAAATGGGAGAAAACAAAGAAAGTGCAGTTTTTTTTTCTATTAAGCATGTTATACTTAGCTATAGTAGTATATATAATATATATATATATATATATATATATATATATATATATATATATATATATATATATATATATATATATATATATATATATATATATATATATATATATATATATATATATATAGCATGTGTCTATATATGTATGAATGCGTGTATATATATATACATATATATATATATATATATATATATATATATATATATATATATATATATATATATATATATATATATATATATAGCATGTGTCTATATATGTATGAATGCGTGTATATATATATACATATATATATATATATATATATATATATATATATATATATATATATATATATATATATATATATATATATATAGCATGTGTCTATATATGTATGAATGTGTGTATATATATATACATATATATATATATATATATATATATATATATATATATATATATATATATATATATATTATATATATATATATGTATATATATATATATATATATATATATATATATATATATATATATATATATATATATATATATCCAGGGCTATTCTAGACCTGTTTTTGACCGTGCTGATTGTATTTGACCGCTGCCCAAATTCAAAAATAGAGGACCTTTTTTTCAACAAATATTGCTTTTTTTGCAGAAAAACTGCTAATTTCTTTACAGAAAGGCACCAGCATGAAGGTACAGCCGCTCAAATTATTTTTTTAGAATAGCTCCTGTATATATATATATATATATATATATATATATATATATATATATATATATATATATATATATATATATATATATATATATATATATATATATATATATATATATATATATATACACATATACATATACATATACATATATATATATACATATATATGTGTATATATATATACATATACATATACATATATATATATACATATATATATATATACATATATGTATATATATATATATATATATATATATATATATATATATATATATATATATATATATATATATATATATATATATATATATATATATATATATATAAATTATAAATATAGATTTTTCTATGTGAGTCATTTCAATGGTACTTAGAAGAAGCAAGGACAGAAGTAATAAAAGTTAATGCTATCATGGTGCAGAAACATGTATGTTATTATTATTTGTAAATTAAACTTTTGCTCTAAAATTTGGTTGATACAGTTATAAAAGTAATAACAATAAGGTATAGTGCAAATAATATAATTCTAAATAGTTTAAGTATATTAAAATGTCTTGTATTGTGTATATATCTTGTATGGTGTATGGTGTATGGTGTATGCATTTTGTTTCTTGAGTTGTATTTAATACATCTTGTATCTTGTTTTGTATTTAATACATCTTGTATCTTGTTCTGCATTTTGAAAATTTAGGAGTGCTTTTTGCAAATTTTAGGAGCCTTTTTATTTTTTAGTAAAACATGTGAAAAATTTTAGTAAAAAATTTTAGTGAATTTTAGAAAAATTTTAGTTAAATTTTAGAAAAATTTTAGTGAAAAATTTTTAATTTAAGGTTTTGAGAGGCTAATGACAGGTTTTTTTTAACAAATTATAAAAAAGTATACTTTATGACAAACATCCCTGAAATGTTTTACAGAAATCTCAAAAAAATATAGCCTGAAGCTCCTATGTTTGGTTATCTTGAAAATGGTTCAATCTTTCCAGTGCAAAGTTCAAAGTTAGGAATTATCCCATTATAATTTCAAATGAAGTACAAATTAAAAACCCTATTTGTATTGTTGTTTGAGTTTGTATGTTTTTAGGCTGCTTTATTTTCGTAATGTACTGGGTACCTGATTTGGACCCTGTAATTTGGCTATTTTCCTGGGTACCTGGAAGTGGCCATTTTGTTGCAGTATCCAGCACCAGGTATCTTGAAAGAAATTTTTAATAAACATTAACCTTAAGTACTGTAACTATTTTGAGTTCAGGGACTCTGTATTAACTGAATCTTGCACATCTCTACTTTATTTATTGAATCTGAGTCTTTTGGGTATTTTTCAGTAAAGCTTATTTTCATATTGTCAATCACATAATATTAGCCATCTAATCAATTTTTATGACATTGTTGTTAGCAACAGTCGATTTCCATGTGTTTAGTAACTGCTTGACATTTAGTGGTAGGGTATTAATACATTAAGCAGCAAGATATTTTCCCTACAGATTTGATCACGAATGATCTGCGATTGCATGGGCACACCTCTATGTACACCTTCATGTACACCTAAATTTATTATAGGGTGTGTTCACACCATACTAAATTTACTTTACCATACTTTGTGACAAAATATAGGCTAAATAAATAATATTATATTTATTAAATAAGTATTGTTTAAGTAATTAATTTTTATTATTATTATTATTACTTTAGATTAAATATATTGTTTTTTCTTTCATTTCATGCTTTTCATTAAACACTTCTTTAGATTTGTTTCATTTGGAATCAAAACAGCTGAGTACATTTTTTATATCCTGTCTCATTTATTTTAAATGATTCAATAAACAAAATAAAACGAATTTTTTTCAAATTTAAAAAAAATAAACTTTGAGCAATTTTTTATTGAATGAAAATAATTACTCTTGCATAATATATCAAAAGATCTGAAAATTGAGATAAAAGGTTTCCAGCATTTAAGCAATATGCAGCTTGAGAAATATTTTAGTGGTCTAACTATACTTTTACTGAAGACTAAAATATGCTGATATGGCAATTCAAAATGTTATCAACAACTGCATTATCCTAATAATTTTCTTGTAAAAAATAAAAATTTGAAAATTTCCTAAAAAATATAATCAAAATATTCCTAAATAAATAGTCAAACTTTTTTGTAGACAATTTTGGAAATATTATACATACTTTTTGTCTAATGAAAATATTATAAATATTATTTTGTCTAATGACTGGACCAATTCTATATAAAATCATCAATTTTTTTTTTATCTTCTAATTTCAATATGTATTTTAAAGGTATGGTATCTTTTGAATTTTTGAAGAATTTGCTCATGATTAGCATAACACATTTATTTATCTTTTTTTTTTTGGTTAAGCATTTACAACTTTTTTGGGCAATTGTTTTTTTACAATTGCATTTTTCTGATATATATTTTTTTAAAATGTTGCTTTTGTATAATAACGCATCATTGTATATCTTCCTTTAACATCCTTTTATAATTATTTCCACATTTTTTGTGCAAGTTTAGCTAAATTTTATTGCCTTTTTGTTAAAAATTTTATGTAACTTGCAAAAGAGCAGTATATATTTATCCATCAATTTTAAAAAGACTTTTTCTATGTTAGTGGAAACATCTTTACTAAATGATTTGAACCAAATTATGTTTCTAGTTCTATTATGCTTTTTTGCATTTCTTTTTCTGAGCTTGTCAAACAAGTTTTTTAATTTGAGCACATTTTTTTTTAATCTGAGATCCATCAAAAATCCCATCATTTATATTTCATTGAAAATTTTCCTTCAACAGTTCTACAAATTTTTATCAATATTACTCAACTTGTCATAAATAAATTTGTTGCTTTGAGCACTGAGGCCAATCTTTTAAATGTTGGCCTCAGAACTTCTAAAATTCTTAAAAATAAGTACTTAGATGCCTGTATTTAGGTGCTCCCAGAAGCCCTTACGGTCTTATCATAGAGCACTGCGGGAGAGTATTTAACAGAAAGTTCACGCCTCCTTCCGTACCAATGTCACTTGTTGGGCTAGAGCTGGCATCGAACCTCAGACCTCTGGGTTCTGAGTCAGAACTCTAACCACTGCGCCACGGCTGCTCTAAACTTAATGTGTAGTGGCGGCATAAGCACATTTTTAAGAGCAACAAGTAAGTCTTACATGTTGTTTCAAACTCCAAATTTAAATTCTGTTTGCTGCTTGCATTGATTTCTGTTGTCATTTGTTGTTATTCAGGTTGTATTTTAGTTGTAATTGTCAGCTATTTTTAAATGTTTTGAATAAAACCTTGTTTTAAATAAAAAGCAGCTTAGCACATTAGCAGCTTAGCAAATTATTTTTTTTGCAATATCTTTTTTTTAAATATAAACAACAATTATGAAAAAACTAGCATACACAACGATCTAAAAAAAAACTTTAGGCCATTATGATCACATTATAAAAAAAATTTACACAATATTCAAATTTACCTTGCGCTCAAAGCCAAATAATATAGGAACAATTTTCAGGGTATTTTGCTGCTTGAGCACAAGAGCACAAGATGAATGTTAATATTTTTGGAATTTTTTTTTTGTAATCATATTTTTTTTAATATTTGCCCCAAATTTGGTTTCTTGTGTATTTACGATTTGAAAATTTTATTTTTTGAACACCCTTATTGTAACATGTTTACAAAGAATGTTTTTTTTTGTAAAAAATAGAAAAGGAGGAAGAAAAATTGAGTCGCTTTTTTGATTGAGTGGTGGCAGTTAAGGGTTGTTAAAGTGAAAAACGTTCAAGTAAAAAGTTACTGCTTTCTGTTAGCCTTCCTTAACGATTAAAATTTTTTTAATAAAATGTAATTTAATAACTATTTTAATAAACTTTAAGTAGTAAAATTAGTGATATAAAATTGTTGATAAAATATTATTATATTCCTAACTTGTTGCAGTAGATCTTATTCCAACTTGTTGCAGTAGATCTTATTCCAACTTGTTGCAGTAGATCTTATTCCTAACTTGTTGCAGTAGATCTTATTCCTAACTTGTTGCAGTAGATTTTATTCCAACTTGTTGCAGTAGATTTTATTCCAACTTGTTGCAGTAGATCTTATTCCTAACTTGTTGCAGTAGATCTTATTCCAACTTGTTGCAGTAGATCTTATTCCAACTTGTTGCAGTAGATCTTATTCCTAACTTGTTGCAGTAGATCTTATTCCAACTTGTTGCAGTAGATCTTATTCCTAACTTGTTGCAGTAGATTTTATTCCAACTTGTTGCAGTAGATTTTATTCCAACTTGTTGCAGTAGATCTTATTCCAACTTGTTGCAGTAGATCTTATTCCTAACTTGTTGCAGTAGATTTTATTCCAACTTGTTGCAGTAGATTTTATTCCAACTTGTTGCAGTAGATCTTATTCCAACTTGTTGCAGTAGATCTTATTCCTAACTTGTTGCAGTAGATCTTATTCCTAACTTGTTGCAGTAGATTTTATTCCAACTTGTTGCAGTAGATTTTATTCCAACTTGTTGCAGTAGATCTTATTCCTAACTTGTTGCAGTAGATCTTATTCCAACTTGTTGCAGTAGATCTTATTCCTAACTTGTTGCAGTAGATTTTATTCCAACTTGTTGCAGTAGATTTTATTCCAACTTGTTGCAGTAGATCTTATTCGAACTTGTTGCAGTAGATCTTATTCCAACTTGTTGCAGTAGATCTTATTCCTAACTTGTTGCAGTAGATCTTATTCCTAACTTGTTGCAGTAGATCTTATTCCAACTTGTTGCAGTAGATCTTATTCCAACTTGTTGCAGTAGATTTTATTCCAACTTGTTGCAGTAGATCTTATTCCAACTTGTTGCAGTAGATCTTATTCCAACTTGTTGCAGTAGATCTTATTCCTAACTTGTTGCAGTAGATTTTATTCCAACTTGTTGCAGTAGATCTTATTCCAACTTGTTGCAGTAGATCTTATTCCAACTTGTTGCAGTAGATCTTATTCCTAACTTGTTGCAGTAGATTTTATTCCAACTTGTTGCAGTAGATTTTATTCCAACTTGTTGCAGTTGATCTTATTCCAACTTGTTGCAGTAGATCTTATTCCTAACTTGTTGCAGTAGATTTTATTCCAACTTGTTGCAGTAGATCTTATTCCAACTTGTTGCAGTAGATCTTATTCCAACTTGTTGCAGTAGATCTTATTCCAACTTGTTGCAGTAGATCTTATTCCAACTTGTTGCAGTAGATTTTATTCCAACTTGTTGCAGTAGATCTTATTCCAACTTGTTGCAGTAGATCTTATTCCAACTTGTTGCAGTAGATCTTATTCCAACTTGTTGCAGTAGATCTTATTCCTAACTTTTAAGTTGGAGAAAAGTATTAATGTTAAAAATGGCTGCACAAAATTCTGGGAAGCACAAAACTTAAGTATTAAACGTAAAATAAAATTTTTTTCAGTCCGTTTTAATTGCCATCTTCATCTATGGAAAGTTTCATTCAAAAAGAAAATTTCATTCAAAAGAAAAAATTCAATACTAAATTTAGAGCATCACTAAGTAATAAAATGATTGATGCATTATGTTTTTTAAGGTCATATTTAACCAAAAATTAATAGTTTTCATGTGTTTGGCTGAAGCAATTAGCCAATTTTCATATTCTTTATAAAATAAAATATGCTATTATATATTTTGTTATATTGTTACATTGGTTATCAAACTATTAGCCCATAAAGGGATGTCTTTAGCTTTTACTATGCACCAATTTACTTTGTACTAAAAATAAATGTTGTTATTGATCCCATAATTGTTTGAACTTAATATATATATTGCTATATATATTAATATATTATTAATATATATTATATTATTTAAATTAATATAATAATTTTTCAAACATTATTTTTCATTTAAACAGTTTAATTTGTTAATTCGTTGATCAGCCCTAGTGTGACGCCTATACTTCTTATAGTGGTAGCAAGCTACCCCCCCTCCCTCAATGAGAGATTTTCATGATGGCCCTGCTTATACTCTATAATTATTTTTTTAACATGCTTTACTATAGTGTCTTTATTTTGTTCTGAACATCTGTTTAATTCATTTCTATATAATTTTTTTTTTTTTGCAACTCTCTTTAGCTATTAAAATAAAATATTTCATAGATTCGTGGTTGGTTAAAAAGAAAAACTTATCAACGTGAAAAAGATGCTGCCGTTCTATTGCAAAGTCACATTAGAGGCTTTTTAGCAAGGTATGGTTTTTGTCTTTTGTTTTCTAGTTTGTTCATATATAGATAACCTGTAATTTTATTTTCTAGTTTATTCTAACCGTTATTTTAGTATTTATTTTTATATTAGATTAGCAATTAAAATCAAATAAAACATTAGATTCTAAATAACAAAACACAAATGCAACTTAGCCATTAAAGATAAATCAACAATTTTTTTTAAAAATGGTTTACCTATGTTTTCATGTTTCATCATCTGCGAAAATAAAAGAATAATATTCTTTATTATAAATAGTATCATTACAAATGGTTACTATAATATGGTTACTAAAAAGAAATTATAGTTAAAAATTTTACAAAATAAGATAGCATCCAGAATGCATCTAAATTAAGCACATTCATTTAATTTGGAAAATGTTTCATATGCAAAAAAAACTCTACAACCTTAAGGAAATAATTTTGACAAAAATGCATTTGTTAGTGACAAAATACCTTTTCAAAAATCTTTTTGATGTTTACTTACTATGAATTGTAAGTTTAATTTATATACTTTATATTTATCTTCTTATGGAGATTATTTAACTTTAATATTTATTTATATTTATATATTTATATTTAATTTTTACTTTGCTTTATATTTTGAGACTTGCGAACATTTCCATCATTAGAAATTAATGACATTTAAGTCAACATGTTTTT